CTCATGCATCAAACCCAGTCCTTCAGTCCCGTTCAAAATAAAGAAAGAGAGAGAGAGAGATTTGGGTCAAACACTGTAACACTATAGGTACATGTGCTTAAAACTGGTCTTCGACTTTCATTGTTTTAAGAGACGAGCTGGCGCCAGTGTCTCACACCTATAACACTAGCTACTCAGGAGGCAGAGATCGGGAGGATCGAGGTTCCTATCTCAAAAAAAAAAACCCTTCACAGAAAAGAGCCCATGGAGTAGCTCAAGGTGTAGGCCCTGAGTTCAAGCCCCAGTACCACAAAAAGAAAGAAAAGAACTCGCTGAGGCTGGAAAGGGGAGTGGGTGAGAAACGCATTTCTATTTGTCCCAAACCAGGAAGCCTGTCATCTACATTTAGTGACTCTATGAAGGTGAAAGATTGGACACCCCGCTGCCAGACACGGGGCTGAGGGGAAGGATTTCTGAAAGGCAGCCTCTATTTTATGGAGGTATTTAGTGTCATTTCCTCAGAGAATAAAGTGACTGTGTATCAGAGTCTCACTTCCATACATGGTCATCCCCCTGTCACCTGCCTAACTAAGGCACACACACCACCTTAACTGTGAGATTCTTACTGTCCAGGTGTTAAAGGACTGCACCCCTCCACCTGTGTGCCCTCAGTAAGAACTCAGTGGAGACGTGCATCTAGTCAGGTCCTAGAGGGAGTGCAGCCAGTCTTGTTTGTCTCGATGGAGAAAGAGGCCTAAGCGGGTCACTAGAAGTGACAGGAACCTTTGTCCAGTGCACTGACTCAGAATCCCTCCTCTCAGAGTAGCCAAAGTGTTCAGAAGTGACCCCTGAAGCAGTATCAGTGTCTAGAATGACAAACAAGAGCCAGGTGGCCCACGCTTCCTGAGGACCTGACCGTTATTTGGGTGTGTGTTTCTAGAAAGTAGAAATTTTACCCATCACCTCATATGTGGATGAGGTGGCACAGGGGTGCCACGCTGAAGTCCGGCTCCTGTGGGTCTTTCTCTGATCCTGAGTCTGGGTTGGAACCTTGCCTCAATTACCAGCTAAAGGGTGGCGTCCCAGAGGGGCAGCCCTCCAAGCCAGCACTCTGCTCCTAGGATGGCAGTCACCGCTTTAGAGGTTCCTCTCTGCCCATCAGGACACTCAACCTCCCCATGCTGTCTGCTGGCAGCGACCCTGAGTGTGCAGGAGGGAATCCGGACAGACCACTGGAACCAACTTACGGGATCCAAGTGGCTGAGAAAACCTGCCAAGGCCACGGAAGTGGTCAGATAAAGAGTGGCTTTTCTGATGTCACCTCCTGCTCCCACTGAGGCACGGAAAGGATTCTATATCCTCCACTCTGCAATGCCCCTTTGTGATGATAAGCTTGGTTCAAAGACTGGGAGAACACAAGGTCATTTTTTGTTTAGTGGTTCTGGGGTTTGAACTCGGGTCTTGCACTTGCTAGGCAGGTGCCACTCCGCCAGCCCTTTTGCTTTACTTATTTTTTAAATAGGATCTCGTGTTTATGCCCAGGCTAGCCTGTACCCCAAGCCTCCTATTTGCACCCCTCATGCAGCTGAGATGACAGACGTGCACCACCATGCCCAGTTATTGGTTCACATGGGGTCTGGATAACTTTTGTCCCAGACTGGCTTTGACCTGCCATCCTCCTGATCTCTGCCTCCTGAATAGCTGGGATGATAGACATGAGCCACCAGGTCTGAGTCTGTGCAGAAATACAGATGATTATTTAAATTCTTCCCCACTGGTGACGTTAACCGCAGGTGGCGTATTTCAACCATGTGGTGATTTTCTCACCTCTTGGTGCTCTCTCTGAGGAAGTTTGGTGGCCGGGAGAGACCTCAGGCTTTCTCTCCAGCCTGCCTCGTGGCCTGTACACGACAGTCTTGAGAGAGAGAACATGGGAACCAGAAGTGGATCCTGTCCTTGTCAACCCCAAACCTGCGTTCATCTCCAATCCTGCTAATGTCAGGCACCCTTAATCCCCTCTGTTCTGCTAACTTGATAAGACATTCCTTATCAAGGAAAAGATAGCAAAAGAGAGGAGGGGAGAAAGGAGGGGAAGGAGGAAAGGAAAAGCGGGGAGGGAAAGGACACCTGAGGGGGCAGTGGTAGAGAGGATCAGAGATGGCAGCGAAGTCTGGGTCTGCCTTTCTCAGGTGTCTGATCACCAGCAAACTCACCCTCTGTCCTCAGCCCTTTCTTTGTCACAGTCATTTCACATGCTAAGTCCATGACACCTCACTACCACTCTGCCCTGTTCCCTCCTGCACTTTTCCACCTAACAGTGATTCACAAGTAACTCAAATGTACGTGCTGGATGTTTGACCAATTTCTGATCTGTCTCTCACTTTACAGTGTCACACGGAGTTTGCTAATCCCTTTCCTCGCCTGGAAACCTGCCTCGTTCTCTCTTTCCTCCTCACAACGTACAGGCCACAGGCAGACAATAGTCACATTAATCACGGTAGCTCCTCCTTTCTCTGGGCTTTTATTTAGAAAAAGAACAGCCTGATGAATACTATAAAATACAGTTAAGAAAAATAAATGGAATAAATAAATGGGGAAGCCATAATTAGGGAAATACTCGTAAACAACTTTGTACAGAAATAATGCTCACTTTACCCACACTTGTTGAGAAAAAGTGAAAAGTTAAAGGGAAGAATTATATGAAAGCATCCATGTAAATGGGGAAATTTCCAAAAAAAAAAAAGTTTTGTATCCCGTTCTGCTACTGACTTGACAATGGTGAACAAATAACAACCGTGGTGCATCCTAAGGACACCGTCCCTAAAGCCTTTCTGCTGTCTCTGTGTCTGTCCTCAGCTGGCCACTGCGGCTCCCCAGACCCCATTGTGAATGGCCACATCAGTGGTGATGGCTTCAGCTACAGGGACACCGTGGTCTATCAGTGCAACCCTGGCTTCCGGCTCGTGGGGACGTCGGTCAGGATCTGCCTCCAGGACCACAAGTGGTCGGGTCAAATCCCCGTCTGTGTCCGTGAGTACAACTGTGCGGGAGCTCGCCACTTGGCCTTGTGTGGACACACGCCGTCCTTGGGTGGACAGAAGAGCAAATCCTGCCTCAGTGTCCCGCTCAGAGCCTAGGCACTGCCATGGTCACCTTCCCATGTTCATTTTTCCTCCCATGGCTCCCAAGAGTCCCGCCTCATTTAAGTGTCCCATCAGTTCATTAAATGGGTTCCAGGCTGAAGTGTCCTGTGTTCACTGTCCTGACTTTATCCCAGGACACACGGAGGTAGTGAGCGGGGCAGGGGACTGCAGGCTTTCCCTGCAAGTCCCCAAACCAGCTGAGCTCCCTCAGTCTCCAGCATTAGCCTGCATTCTGCTCATTGTCCCATCAGGGACAGAGAATTTCCAAGCAGCCGTTCCTCTAACAGAAGAAGGGGACATTTTATGTAGCAATTGTTCTTGGGATCTATAACTTCAAAGATAAGTGGAGATTACTACTTTTAGAATGGCTTTACCCTCTTTTTTCTCAAAATTCCTTTAAAACCAATCATTCTAACATAGTCTTTGTTTTCCTGTAAATTAAGCAGCAAAGATGTTGATGTGGTGAGAGTGCAGTAGTCTGGGAATGTACAAAGTTCTGCCATGAAAGCTTTACCTTAGAATGAAAAACAATGCTGACAAGATAAGCGGGCAGGAAACGCCAGTTTTATGACCACACGTAATTCACCTGAAAGGTCCAAGGACAGATGTCTCCTTGCTCTGTAGGGCCATTGTTCAGGGCATGGCACAATGACAGTTTATTACATTTCAGAGGACCATACAATACAGAACATCAGTGAAAATGACACTTGAGGGCACACGGCTATTTTGCTAATTTTATGTTTAAGTTGATATCTGATCATTTGTACACAGACGATTTAAAGTTTCATGCAAGTACCCATAGAGTTCCAAAACAAGGGTTTCAACGAGTCAGCTAAGAGGCGTGTGCTATTCAAAACCTTCGAACTTCAGAAGTTTATTGCGTCGGTTTTTCTGCACTGCTCTGTTTTTAAGTCAATGGCATGCTGTCACGGTGTGAGTGAGAAGCAACAGCTCCTCTCCAGAGGAGACTGCGTTTGCAAGCTTCCTCATGCCCCTTGTTTATACAAAAGCCTGCAAGTTCAGCCTCTGGTTCTTTTTCCCAAATTCCCTTTCTGACATGAAGTGTCTGATTGGAAAATTCTGGAATCTGTACCTTTGCCTATCTGCGCTGACATGCTAAATGTGGACAGTGACCTGGGCCCCTCTTCTCCACAGCCATCACCTGTGGACACCCTGGAAACCCTGCCCATGGAGTCACCAATGGCAGCGAGTTCAACCTGAACGACCTCGTGAACTTCACATGTAACACAGGCTACCTGCTCCAGGGGGCCTCCCGGGCCCAGTGCCGGAGCAATGGCCAGTGGAGCAGCCCGCTGCCCACCTGTCAAGGTAGGAAGGTGCCCTCTGGCCATGTATGGAGGTGGGGTTGTGTATGGGAATGGTGTCCTTTGCCCTAAGGGTGTAGACGGTCAATCCACATACCAGGCAAACTGTGTGCATGACTGTAAAGGGTGCAGCTCCAGTCCAGCCAGTGGACACGGAGGGTACGTGGTGCAGACGACAGGGCCCCACAGACTCTGTGTAACATGGAGACATTTCTAAGACTAACCCACCAATCTCCAGGAGCCTTTGCCCGTCTCCTGGAGGGCTCTCGAAGCGTAAGTACCTAAGACTCTTCTTCCAAGACACTCATCTTTCAGGTCTTTTTCTCCCAGTCATTCACCTCTTTGTTACTACCATGTGTATTTAGCACTTTTTGGTCCTGAAACTTCTCATCTTATGAATGTATTCATGAGGTTTTCACTGCTTATAAATTTCAATCATTTATTTGGGTTTATTTAAAAATTGTCATGTAGACCTGGGCTAAAACTTGAGTTAAACAGAAAATTCTGTTTTAGTTTTTGTATGTCTGCTTGCGTTGGCTCGTAACGTTTAAGACTTTCCTTAATTGTTTTCCACGAGTGTGTTTCTTCTTGAGGGTGAAGAGTCTGATGTGGAGCGAGGTCTGTGGATGGTAATAAATGTTGGTAGCAGATTTGTGGCACTGGGGCTGGGGACCAGAGGGTTCTTGGTCTCGTTAGAGAAAGAATTCAAGGAGACTGAGGCAGGAGAAGGTTTATTAATGTAAAGGAAAGTACAGCCTGAGATGGGAGGGTGGGCAGACTCAAGAAGGAGCCACTGTGCTGGGGTTCTCTGGACCTCAAGCTGTCATTGGGGTCTGCAGTCCTGGGGTTGGCCATTCCTGGAGAGTGGGCTATGCACGATCACATGTTGGGAGGGGGTGTTCTTGGCTTTGGATGGTCAGACCTGGCCTGTCATTTTCTGTGGACTGCACTGCAGGAGCTTTGGGTCAGCAAGACCCCATGTATCTCACAAGTCATTCCTTTAACATCAGCGGGCCAGGGTGTGATTTTTTAATCAACATCCAAGCCATCCTTCTCAGCCATAAGGTTTTCCAACTCTGTGCCCAAGTCATTTTTCAATGTGATTTTAGAGGCAGATACGTATGAATCATGCTTGCTCTGATAAGGGCCTCCATTTACCCAGCTTACCCCAGGGCTTCCCAGAAGCTATATTCCAATGTGACATTGGAAGGATGGAAACCCATGGTTTTTAATTATTAGTTTTATGTAAAAGCTGACAAACCAAGTGCAGAGTGCTGCTCCAGGCTAACATGGAGGGTTCAGCTTGTGCTCAAAGACCAAAGAAAGCCTCTTAATTCCACTTCCCCCCTAAAATGCTTCTGAGACTGCTAGCTAAGACAGTCCTTGGGGACAGACAGGATTCAGTAGGGCTGAGTCGCCGCCCTTGGAAGGGACATTGTCTCGGCAATGTCAGACAATTAGTTATTGTCACAACCCCAATCAGTGAAAGCGTTTCTTTGATCACTTCTAAGTATTCGAAGGACAGGTAACACTCAATGGATATTTATCAGTTATTGATAAAAGATCAATACAAGTAATTTTCACATATCTGAAAAATAGTCCTAAGTTGCTCTTTTTGGGACTGTTGTTTCTCTCTGTGGCCAGCAATCCCGTGTTCTTCTCTAGTCCTGTGGTTCATCGGGTCAACAGAAAATGAGAAAATGTGTATTGTGTGCAACTCACTGATCACAGCATAGTTATTTCCATCATGTCTCCCTAAGGCTTTGTAATTTCTTCTGTTGAAAAAAAAAAAACTGTACAGAACTTTAATCAATTATGAGTACTTAAAAAAACACTTACCCCTTTTCCTAACTACTAAAGTATGCAATGTAACTCTTATATTGCAAAGTACAGGTTTTTCCTTTTAACTTTCCTGTTTGTAGTCAAGTTTTTGTGAGTGCTGAAAGAAGTCAAGAATGAGGAAAGAAGGCTGGGTGCAGTGGCTCACACACATAATCCTAGCTACTTGGGAGGCAGATACCAGGAGGACTGAGGTTCCAAGCCAGCCTGGGCAAAAACTTTGTGAATCCCCATCCCACCTCAGCTAGTGGCCTGTCATCCAAGCTGTGCAGCGAGGCAGAAAGAGGAGGGTGGCAGTCCAGGCCTGCCCAAGCATAAAGTAAGACCTCAAAAACGACCAGCACAAAGAAGGTGGGAGGTTTGGCTCAAATAGTAAGGGCATCTGCCAGTAAGCATGAGGCTCTGAGTTCAACCACCAGTACCATAACAAATATAGAAGTAAGAAACAGGATTGAATGCCAAGAAGAGACTGGAACACAAATTTTAAGCACAAAAAATCAGGAAAATCAGGACACTGAGTTTTCTTCCTCCTTCCCTCTTCTACTCCCTTTCTTTCTTTCTGCTTCCACTCTCTTCTTTCCTGTTACAAGTGCTGAGAGCAAAGGCATGGAGGCTCCCAAGTCCCCTTGACTCAGTAGGACAGCTGAGGGTCCAGGCTTCTCACCTGTGCAGCTGTGAGAACGGGGCTGCCTGCCCGTGTTGGCCTGAGCGCTCAGTGATGATCGTCACACAGTCTGTGACCTCCATGGATTGTCGGGCAACATAGAATTATTTGTTGGAATAGTTCCCTCTAAACCACAATATGGATTTTTTCAGGAAAAGTGAAATGTCAGCAGAAAACAGGAAGTGATAAAAATGATATTTGCCAATTTAGTGATGTTAAATGTAACATTGGTCACAACAGTGTAGAAGGAGCTCAGAACAGCACATCCCAGCCCCAGGCATCAACCATGTGTGACACTCACTGTCTATCTACAAACCTGGAAAAAGGCAGGAGGGGGTGGCTGAGGCTCTGGGGCCCCAGGACCCTTTAGAACGCATAGAGCTTAGAACACGTCCTAGTCACCTATAGAATTAAGGTTTCTCTTCTGTCTGTGTTAATTTTGGTGTAATTGCTTTTACATAGCTTTAATCCAAAGATCAGGTATTGCTGTGTAACCCAGGCTGATCTTGAACCCTCCTGCCCCTGACTCCGGAGTGATGGAATTACAGGTGTGTGCCACCATACCAGGTTCCAAAGATCTTCTTAAAATCATGGTTTCTCTGACAAAATTTTTAGCTCCAATCTGACTTTTTTAGTGTTGCTCTCCCTGTAATTGACTTAGAATTCAGATGTAAGGACCTAGATTTGTAAAGTTCTCAATTCATTTAAAAGTTGGGTCTGGAGACCTCTTGTCATGGTGTGGTGTGGTCTAAAGGGTAGAGGGAAATGCGTGGATGGATTGAAGGCACCAGTGAAGTTTAGCCAGCTGCCTGATAATCAGTGGAGCTGTCTACTCTCTGTGTACTAGACCATGAGGCTGCCAGCCTCCCAGCCCCAGTGTCACACCTGCACAGCTGTGACCTCCCACTGCAGTTTCCCTGGTGTCCAGCCCAGCTGTAATGAGGCGAGTGCTATGAATTATAGACCCAGCTGCAGCTGCATAGGGCCTTGCTTCCACTATCTTGGCCCCATCGCCTCTGGCTGAGCATCCCTCATGGTGAGAAGAGGGTGACTGGCATGCCAGTCCCACGGGAGAATTCGGTTTGAGACACAGTTGGGCAAAGGTTCTCTTGGCGCGCTTCCAAATGGGCTATTACCTTCATTCTCAGAAGCTACCTCAAAATAAGTCTATTTTGCTGCCCTAGTTTTTCTTTCCCTAGTTCAGTAGTCCCCCTCCATCCATGGGAGATGTGTCCCGTGTCCCCAGTGGCTGCCTAACTGAAGATGGTGTGGAACCCTGTGAACAGAGTTTTTTCCGCACAGAACATACAAACCTGTGATCAAGTTTCATTTATAAATTAGGCACAGTAAAGATGAGCAGAAAGTAATGATAGGGAAAAATTGCTATACTGTTCCCCTCTCTCTCTCTCTCTCTCTCTCTGCCTCTCAAAACATCTTATTACACTGTCCTCGTCCTTCTTGTGTCAGGGTGATGGGCAATGACACAATGCCTGCATGATGAGATGAAGGAGGTGAGTGGCATCTATGGGCCCTGTGACGTGTGCTCTGCTCCTACGTTAGGCTACCTCAGCACAAGCACTGTGATACCTTGACATGTGTCACTAAGTGACCAAGAGGTGAAGCAGCTCATACAGAGTGGACACACTGGACAGAGCCATGGTTCACACTCCAAGCAGGACTGAGCAGCAGGGCCCAAGCTTTCACCATGCTGCTGAGAATAGCACACACTATTTAGAACTTATGAGTTGGAATTTCTAGAATTTTCTACTTAATATTTTTAGACCACTGTTGACTGTGAGGACCTGAAACTCTAGGAAGTGAGGCTGGGAATATGGGGGCTGGGTCCTCTGTACTCTATCTGCTCAAAAAATAGGGGTTGCCAACTCATATTGACTCTGTTTTTACCAGTTTTACTGAACAGTAGTTTTTTTTATTTTTTAATTTGCACAAAACCTTAGCCTCTAGCATTTAGTTTTAAAGTTTAATTTGACAGTCTATATTTACTTTTCCTTTTTTTGTGCAAGAACTGTGTTGAAAGTGAAAGGATGATAAGTGTGCTTGCTTTTATAAACGAACAGCAGAGGTGGCCTGAGGTGCCTCCTCCACAAAAGTTAGCCGGTGGGTATGAGGTTGGGAAAGGTGTTTACTCTGCGGCCATGCTTCCTTCAAAGTTGACTTTTCTGGAGGAAGTCACGATGTTGTTAAAAACTAGGAGGTTCTTAGGATTCTGTTTTGGATTTCCCATTTTTAACCTGATTTTGAATAATGAATTAAATTATAGTGTGTCCTAAGCATCTCAGATGCCCTGAAAGGCAACCCTTACTTCAACTTTTCAATTTGCTAATAAGGAATACGTTAATATGAATGAATGAATGGAGGAAAAATATGTTGTGCTTACCTAGGAATTTATTGTAATTTTTTTTCTGAGAACTACAGAGGGCACTCAGAAATAAATTATTCAACTAAAAACAACTGAAGTCTTGCCAGGTTTTCCAGTTGACTGGTGGCTGGAGTCAAGTGGGAAGAACCTGTGAGGTTATTTTAGGGGTTTCCCTGCCCAGGATCCCAGCACCTCAGTGTTGTGATGTACTGATCTCTGACACATGTATTGTGACAACCCTTCGCCAGGGGAAGCAAGTGTGCAGGATCGCACTGGAGAAGGGTCCCAGGCCATGGGAGAGTCTCGTGGAACTGCGGCCACCGCTTAGGGTTCTGAACAGTAACAGGGATGTGGAGCAGATGGGGCTTCTGTACCTGAATAGGGATGGGATGGGGAGAGTGGAGAACGAAGGTAAGATGGGGAGATGTACACAGCGATGGTGGAGGTGGCCTTGGGAAGCACCAATCAAGGTCTGGGTGTCCCCTGAGTCTCACTCACAGTGTGAGGTGTGCCAAGGGAGATGGGATTGGCCATGAAGACTGGCAAAAGAGCTCAAATAACTAGTAGCTAGTTTTCACACCCTGTACTCTAATGCTCCATCCATCAAGCTGATAATCTTAGATAATTGGGGGGGTGGATACAGGGAGGATCAGGGTTAGAATCCAGCCTGGGAAAAAAGTTCACAAGACCCCATCTCATCCAGTAGCTGAGTATGTTGGCACACGCCTGTCATCCTTGCTGTGACTAAAGCATAACTAGGAGGATCACAGTCCAGGCCTACCCGGGCATAAATGTGAGACCCTCTCTGAAAAATAACCAAAGTAAGTGAGGTTGGCTGTGGGGTTTAAGAGGTAGGGCACCTGCCCAACAAGTGCAAGGCCCTGAGTTCAACCCCTAGTATGGCCAGAAAAGAGAAAAACGAAACAGCCTAATTCCCTTTCAATACGAAAATGCAGAACTCTGTAAGTAATTGAAGGAAAAAAGAAAAAAAATGAAAGGACAGAAAAGGGGGCACTAATTGGCTACATTGCACCCGGAATTGGCTTGAAGAGAACAGGAGAGGTGAGTGAGAGGAGCTTACGCTCTTGTCCACACGTGTGTATGGACTTGGGTAGCTTAGAGAGGGCATCTCTGAAGACAAGGCATGTACACAGTGCACTGCAGAACCTCCAAGATGCTATTGCAGGCTAAGAGTTCAGCAGGTTCTCAGCTCCCTCTCCCTCTCAAAACACAAAGGGGGTTCCATTTGGAATTCACCGGGAAATACCGAGGCATTGATTAAAATATCCTAGACCAGGGTCCAAGGCCCCTAACCTCTGCCTTCTTCTAGCACAGTGATCTTTGTGACTTCGGATGCATTCTGTCATTTATAAATGTCTTCCTCTGACATACAAAAATGTCTCCATGGGACATATTTCCAGGGTCCACTTGAATTCCTCCACACTGGGGAAGCATATAAGATGTCAGTGTTTTGCATTCCTTCCTGCTGACAAAATTCAGTCCTGTACAGGCTTTCCCACCTAGAAACCAAGTCACAAACTGAGCATATTGGGGTGAGATGGTTGGAGGAGGTGTGGACCCGCACACGGAGCCCCTTCCCCAGTCCTTTCTGATGCATTACTCTTGCTTAACGACACGTGCAGTGGTTTCTACAGGTTCCAACGTGGTCTGACAGAGCTCCACACCGTTAATATCATTGGTCATTTCGGAGGCTACCCAGTGACCTCAGAAATTTGATTTCTCATTATGCTTTCTCAGTGACAGCTCACCTGTCACTCACACATGCCTCTTTCCAGCAGATCCCTCGGTAGGAGCCACTGGCAGACCAAGTGGAGGAGGGACGCGGTGGGATAGCTGATCCGTGTGCGGAAGGGGTGGCTAAGGAACTCTCCTGGCATCCACACCGTGCCTCTCAGCCTTTGAAGCATGATAAGGACACTTTAAAGGGCTCCCTGTGAGGGACAAATAAGTCCGATTAGTCTCACCTCCTTCCTGCCTCCAGCAGGCAGATGTGGCTGAACATCTGAATGGAACTCAGAACTTAGCAGGGACTATAAACAGACGTTTCTGAGGCAGGTCTATGCAGGATTGAACAGTGCAAGAGCAGATTTAAGGCATTTGCTGTCAGGCTTCCCCCACCCTTCCACTCTACTCACCTTCCCAGCCCCAGCTCTTGGAGTCATTAGTGCTAGCAAGAGTTTGCCCATCATTGTAAGGGTTCTGAGGCAGCTAAAGGGCAGAGAGAATCCCAGAGCTCAGGTCTGTAACATGTCTTCCAGGAAATTCCAGAGTGGTCTCTACTGACGTGGGCTCCATGTCTGTGCACCCCTCATTCTGGCAGGAGGACTCTTCATGGAGAGCGTTTAGTCTGTTTTGAGCAAGGTTATGACACTGTGCTCTAGAGCCCCTCACCCAGCCATGTGGCACTCAGAACCCTCTCCTTGGCCATGGCTTCTCTGCCTGCTTCTTCTCTTTGCCCTTTTTGTCTTCAGCCTGTCCTTCTCTCAAGGGCCACACCCATAATGATGCAGGCTTTGTGTACTTCCATTGGTTACTACACAATGAGGCTGCATTAAGGCCAAACCACCTGTCCCCAAAGCCACAGACATTCATATTGGCTCCCAGGGTCCTGTGGGAGCTTGACCCCTCTGGAATGTTGGTACAGCTACTCTGCAAATGGTCAGAGTGACCACTGGTGTCAACACGTGCCTCTCCCCTCACTGCAGTGCGGTGCTGTCTGTGGACACTCTCTAAGGAGCAGCACACACCGTCACCAACACCATGTCCTCAGCATGGAACCAGACAGCTGGCTCTCAGTTCAGGGGGCCAATTTCTCTCCTGGGCAGGCAGGCAGTTCCCAGTGCCACAACCACAGGGTTCCAGGTTGTGCCAGTGTCTTTCAGGTTTATTAGACTGTGTCAGCTAGGTCATTCCTGCAGTCTCAGAGTTTGGGTAACTGTTTTATTGTAACTGCAATGCACTATGGGACCTTAAAAATAGTTGCCTCTGCTCCATAAGCATGTTTATAAAAAAAACAAACGCTCAGAGGAACTCAAGACTTTCTTCTGGAGGCCCAGGGCTGTTTAAAAATGCACAGAACATATTCCACAGCCCTGGGAGGGACAGTGGTGAGCCTCAGCTCTGTGCTCCCCTTTCCTCCCCGTAGCAGCGAGGGAGTCCAGAACCATGATTGAGGTGTGGCTTTGTCCGCAGTGCCTGGGATGGACCCTCGATGTGCAGGAGCTGCTGAGAATTCTGCACACATCTCTTCTCTGAGCCACACTGTTATGGACAAAGCATAGCTCCATAGCACCTGTCACATTTAGTGGCAGGGGGTGAAGTGCCAGGTAATGAGGTCTCCTCTCCTGTGCACCTGCCCCAGCAATGGTGTGTAGCTAATTCTGCAGATCTCACAGGCATCCAGGCTAACAGGACCCCAGTGTGGCCAGAGAGCATGTCGCGCCACAGTGACCACCTTACCACTGGCTCTTCCTCGGGGGAGAGGTGCCCATCAGAGGTGACCTCCATCACACGTCCAGGTGCATTGATGGAGGAACTTCTGCCTTCAGCTGCCTTCCTCATGGAGGAGCCATTACTGTAGGCATGCGTGTTGATGCATTAGTACATATCGGAGTTGTGGACACTCATGGCCACCAGTGCCCAAAGCACTGCCCTTGAGTAAGCATTCAGACTAAACTAACTGCAGCCAGTTCTGTCCCATCATTTTGGAACACAAACCCTTCGCAAAACAACTAGTTTCAGAATTTATGTGGAAGAAGCACGTTGCTAGGAAGTAGTAAATTAGCCCCGTGGGGTCAAAGTCACTGTCACAGCTGGTTTCATGCCGGATGTGTTTGGAAGGCACGAACAGATCCATCAGGGAAGCAGAAGTTCGTGAGAAGTCTTGAGATGATGCTGAGTGGTGAGGAGTTCGGCGTCCTTTGCAGTCGGTAGTAGTTTTACTTTGATTGTTTTTGTCACTGATAGATGTCTCTAGGTGACTCATTTTATTTTCCAGTGGTGAACTGCTCGGATCCCGGTTTCGTGGAGAACGCTGTGCGGCACGGTCAGCAGGCTTTCCCAGAGAGCTTCAAGTACGGAATGAGTGTGCTGTACCATTGCAAGAAGGGCTTTTACCTGCTGGGGTCCTCAGCCTTGACCTGCACAGCCAGCGGCCTGTGGGACCGCTCCTTACCCAAGTGTCTGGGTGAGTGGGGACGGCCAGGAGCACCAGCCATGGATGTCATTTTCATGTATTCAAGACAGTACTGACTTTTTTTTTCCTTTTTTTTTTTTCTTTCCTTTATTCATATATGCATACAATGATTGGGTCATTACTCCCCCCCTCCCCTTACCCCCATCTCCTCCCTCTCGCCCCCACCCTCTCGCTTCCAAGCAGAAACTGTTTTGCCCTTATCTCTAGTTTTGTTGAAGAGAGAGTATAAACAATAATAAGGAGGACCAGGGGTTTTTGCTAGTTGAGTTAAGGATAGCTGTACAGAGAGATTCCTCTCATTGCTTCCATGTACATATATATTACTTTATTTATTTATTTATTTATTTTATTCATATGTGCATACAATGTTTGGGTCATTTCTCCCCCCTTCCCCCACCCCCTCCCTTACCACCCGCCCTGCCCACTCCCTCCTCCCCACCCCTCCATACCCGGCAGAAACTATTTTGCCCTTATCTCTAATTTTGTTGAAGAGAGAGTATCAGCAATAATAGGAAGGAACAAGGGTTTTTGCTGGTTGAGATAAGGATAGCTATACAGGGAGTTGACTCACATTGATTTCCTGTGCGTGTGTGTTACCTTCTGGGTTAATTCTTTTTGATCTCACCTTTTCTCTAGTTCCTGGTCCCCTTCTCCTATTGGTCTCAGTTGCTTTTAAGGTATCTGCTTTAGTTTCTCTGCATTAAGGGCAACAAATGCTAGCTAGTTTTTTAGGTGTCTTACCTATCCTCACCCCTTCTTGTGTGCTCTCGCTTTTATCATGTGCTCAAAGTCCAATCCCCTTGTTGTGTTTGCCCTTGATCTAATGTCCACATATGAGGGAGAACATATGATTTTTGGTCTTTTGGGCCAGGCTAACCTCACTCAGAATGATGTTCTCCAATTCCATCCATTTACCAGCGAATGATAACATTTCGTTCTTCTTCATGGCTGCATAGAATTCCATTGTGTGTAGATACCACATTTTCTTAATCCATTCGTCAGTGGTGGGGCATCTTGGCTGTTTCCATAACTTGGCTATTGTGAATAGTGCCGCAATACACATGGGTGTGCAGGTGCCTCTGGAGTAACCTGTGTCACAGTCTTTTGGGTATATCCCCAAGAGTGGTATTGCTGGATCAAATGGTAGATCAATGTCTAGCTTTTTAAGTAGCCTCCAAATTTTTTTCCAGAGTGGTTGTACTAGTTTACATTCCCACCAGCAGTGTAAGAGGGTTCCTTTTTCCCCACATCCTCACCAACACCTGTTGTTGGTGGTGTTGCTGATGATGGCTATTCTAACAGGGGTGAGGTGGAATCTTAGTGTGGTTTTAATTTGCATTTCCTTTATTGCTAGAGATGGTGAGCATTTTTTCATGTGTTTTCTGGCCATTTGAATTTCTTCTTTTGAGAAAGTTCTGTTTAGTTCACGTGCCCATTTCTTTCTTGGTTCATTAGTTTTGGGAGAATTTAGATTTTTAAGTTCCCTATATATTCTGGTTATCAGTCCTTTGTCTGATGTGTAGCTGGCAAATATTTTCTCCCACTCTGTGGGTGTTCTCTTCAGTTTAGAGACCATTTCTTTTGATGAACAGAAGCTTTTTAGTTTTATGAGGTCCCATTTATCTATGCTATCTCTTAGTTGCTGTGCTGCTGGGATTCCGTTGAGAAAGTTCTTACCTATACCTACTAACTCCAGAGTATTTCCTACTCTTTCTTGTATCAACTTAAGAGTTTGGGGTCTGATATTAAGATCCTTGATCCATTTTGAGTTAATCTTGGTATAGGGTGATATACATGGATCTAGTTTCAGTTTTTTGCAGACTGCTAACCAGTTTTCCCAGCAGTTTTTGTTGAAGAGGCTGCTTTTTCTCCATCGTATATTTTTAGCTCTTTTGTCAAAGACAAGTTGGTTATAGTTGTGTGACTTCAAATCCGGGTCCTCTATTCTGTTCCACTGGTCTTCATGTCTGTTTTTGTGCCAGTACCATGCTGTTTTTATTATTATTGCTTTGTAATATAGTTTGAAGTCAGGTATTGTGATACCTCCAGCATTGTTCTTTTTGCTGAGTATTGCCTTGGCTATTCGTGCTCTCTTGTACTTCCAAATGAATTTTAGGGTAGATTTTTCAATCTGTTTGATGAATGTCATGGGGATTTTGATGGGAATTGCATTAAGCATGTAGATTGCATTTGGGAGATCGACATTTTTACTATGTTGATTCTACCAATCCATGAGCAGGGGAGATCTCTCCACTTTCTGTAGTCTTCCTCAATCTCTTTCTTCAGGGGTTTATAGTTTTCCTTTTGTTAAGTTTATTCCTAGGTATTTGATTTTTTTTGAAGCCATTGTAAATGGAATTGTTTTCATATATTCTTTCTCATTTTGTTCATTATTAGTGTATAGAAATGCTAATGATTTTTTTAAGTTGAGTTTGTATCCTGCCACCTTGCTACAGCTGTTTATGGTGTCTAGGAGTTTTTGGGTAGAGTGTTTTGGGTCTTTAAGGCATAGGATTGTATCGTCTGCAAATAGGGATATTTTGACAGTTTCTTTACCTATTTGTATTCCTTTTATTCCTTCTTCTTGCCTAATTGCTCTGGCTAGGAATTCCAGTACTATGTTGAATAGGAGTGGAGATAGTGGGCATCCTTGTCTCGTTCCTGATTTTAGAGGGAATGGTTTCAGTTTTTCCCCATTGAGTGTAATGTAGTACTGACTTTTAATCTTTCTGCCACTTTTCTCCCCGGTACTGCCACATTAACCCAAATCCACAAACTAGTTACAAGCTACATTAGTTTAAGATGGGATAAAAGGCAACATTGGCAAACTCACACACCAAGCCCCCAAGAGAAACGGACCAGAGTTACTTCTCACCACGTGGACCAATTGGACCTTGGCCTCCGCTCAGGCCTGGGACACAGGCTTGCTCCGTCTTCTCCCACGTGGTGGCAAGGCCTCAGCACCTCTCCTGTTTTGGGATCAGAAGCACTGGCAAAGGGCTGTGCTGTGGGGTTTAGGAGGCTGACCCAGCGTGCATGGCAGAAGGGTGAAGTTCTTTGAGGTCCTGGTTCGGGTCCCCTGGCCACTTGCTGTGTGGTCAACCGTGACCATGGTAGACAGATGGCACTGGAAAAAATCTTCACGTGAACCAGAAGAAGGGACTTCTCTGTGAAGAATGGAGGGCTCTCCTGGGCAGACAAAATTATACATTCCCACTGCGTAAGGGCCATTATCACAGTGTTTTAAGGTGTAGATTGCAAGAGCATGACGTTTTACCCACAAGCCACAGGCTGATTTTCTTTCACTGGAAAACCCCAATCTTCTTTTTAAAAATGTGGTCTGAGAATTTAGGAAATTGTATTACTGTCTTTGACCTTTTTAAAAATCAGTTAGAAATAAAGTAGTCCTTATAATCAAAACTTAGGCTAGGAGTGGTGGCTCGTGTCTCTAATCCCAGCCATGTGGAGGCAGAGATCAGGACGATCATGACTCAAAGCCATCCCAGGCAAAAAGTTAGTGAGACCTCATCTTAAGCTGGGTGTGGTGGTGCACAGCTCTCACCTCAGTTATGCTGGGAGGTCATAGGTAAGAGGATCAAAAGTGAGATCCTATCCGAAAAAAAAACCTACAGCAGAAAGTGCTGCAGACTGGGCTCAAGTGGTAGAGCTCCTGCCTAGCAACAGGAGGGAGACTCTGAGTTCAACCCCAGTATAGGCAAAAAAAAAAAAAACAAAAAAAAATCAAAACTTTATATCTTCTTAATAATGCATTTTTGTGTGTGAGGAGTCAAGCCGTGCAAGTGTGCTCTGAATCAGGCATCCACACACCGTGGCAGTCTGTCTTTCCTCTGTCAGTGGCACTGTGAGGTACACAGACTGGTACTGCAGATTTTTTTCCTCTAACCCTAATCCTCACAACCCCTAACTCTACACAATCCTCCTTCTTACACTGTGTGTGCACTCTGCCTTTCCAGACCTTCATGCTTGGGGAGTTTTCAGAGAAAAACGAATATTTTCCTTTGCCCCAAACAGGCCTTTTACATCTTCCCTGGCTCCTGTGCGACTCCATTAGCTGTTGTACTGACATGTCCTGCGTGTCTCCAGGGCCAGCCTGTTCTGACTCCTGTGTTCCCGGGTGGCTAGCCCTCTCTTATTAGCATCTGAATGTGACAGGGACACAAACGGTTCAGAGGAGCACTGGCTTTACACGCTCTGGAAAGGCTCAGCTTCCTCTGTTTCTGCTGCTGCATTGTTCCTCTGATTGTCCTCCCTTTTCTCTCTTATATCCCCTGGAATTGGCCATTTACCCGGTGTCTCAGGTCTAATTGGCTTCTTTTTAGGATGCTGTAGGTAAAAGATAGGGTCTTTGCCCAGGCTGGCTTTGAACCACTGTCCTCCTTATCTCTGCCTCCTGAGTAGCTAGGATTATAGGCATGAGCCTGACTAAATTTTGACCTTGAGCAAAGTTTTCTTAAGCAAAAATTTCCACCCCCAGAGCCTTCTTTTCTTCAGTAAATCAACATTGGGAGAGAGTGCCACTGGATATCGTGTGTTTTCTCTATAGGAGACTTGGGGACGTGTCAACCTGTGCGGGTCCTGTTCTTTAATGGTGATGTTTGCACGGGTGCCCACACGGGCTCCCCCCAAGTCACAGCCATGTGGCTGGAACGACATGCTCAGTTATCTCACTCTTTTCTTTTCCAGCCATATCGTGTGGTCACCCTGGGGTCCCTGCCAATGCCGTCCTCACCGGAGAGCTGTTCACATATGGAGCCACAGTCCAATACTCCTGCAAAGGGGGCCAGAGTCTTACAGGCAACAGCACCAGAGTCTGCCAAGAAGACAGTCACTGGAGTGGAGCCCTGCCCCACTGCTCAGGTGAGGACCCGAGACGTCACCAAGTGTGCACCCCTCCATTTCCGGTCAAATGTGCCACTAGAATACCATCGTCATCATGTCCTCCACCATCACTGGTTCACATCACACAGATCGCCACCATCACCACCGTCATCTCCACATCACATAGGTCATCATCTTCACCTTCGTCACCCACCTCCACCATCAGCACCGGTGATCAATGGCACAGATCAGTTGCACGGATCATCATCTTCACGGTCATCTTCTGCATCATCCCAGGTCCCCTCCACTTTATGTGTCCTTCTGTAGGAATTTCTCATCAACCCACTGGAACACTCGCTTGCCTTGTCTCAGTTTGCTCCTGTTTGCTCTTCGTTCTTTCTCTGTGCTTCCTCTCAGTTCGTCCCCGTTGTACCACCTGTAGCCTCAATATTAGCGTTGACCTTTGATCATCTCCACTCTATGGATGTTGCTTAGCAAACTTCCGTGCTCAGCACCTTGGATACAGCCATGAAGAATCAAACTACACTGAATATCTTTACGTACACAGTGTACCTTGGTCCCCACCTCCCTCCCACATCCACGCTCACCTTCCAGGGAACGCTTGTGGCATTTACCACTCTTAGCATTTCACTTCTTCCAACGGATCCCTTTCTTCTCATAACCATATTTTGCAGCCTATTTTTGTTTTAATGGCACAGGAAGTCTTAAATTCTGACATTTTGTGGGCTATGATAATGAAAAAAATCTCTGTTACAAGATGCCAGAAAGATTGCTCTGTAAACCATAACCCATGTTAAATACAGATTTAAGTAAATTTTCCCCTAGCAGCTTTTCAGATTGTTAAACAAGACAGCTTGTTGTAAACAAATCATGCATTGTCTATGTGTTCCTGTTCCATAGGGAATCATCCTGGGTTTTGTGGGGACCCTGGGACCCCAGCACATGGGTCTCGGCTTGGGGATGAATTTAAGACAAAGAGTCTCTTGCGCTTCTCCTGTGAGATGGGCCACCAGCTGCGGGGCTCAGCTGAGCGGACCTGCCTGCCCGACGGGTCCTGGTCAGGAGTGCAGCCTGTGTGTGAAGGTGAGTGGCTCAAGCCGTGGACTCCACCGTGAACCCCACATGATAAACTCGTTCTAAAAGATCTGGCAGCATTCCACAGGAAATCTTTGTTATTTTTACAAGCAAACCGTCTCCCCCAAAATTTTAGTAACATCCTCAAAAACCACAGGTGGGTCCTTGGAGAGATTCTGTTTAAAGATCCTACAACCCTGGTCTTTATACTTGGAGAGTTTGTAACACAAAAGGTTTCTGATCTGGTGAGAATCCCTGTGACTTAATACGCATTGCATGGGCCTTGGTGGTGAATGAAGGTGGTTGAAGGGAAGCAGTAGGCATTTCTAATCTTTGGGAGGCCTTCATCCCGTGTGCTCTGAGATGACAGAAGAACTTAGGGTAATGTTCCATGTGGCATTTGGAGTGAGCAGAGTTGGTGGTAACATTTGAACACACCGTGGGCATCTTTCCAGCATAGCATTGGGTCTGCTTTGTGGTGAACTGAGATGGGGTTGATAGCAATGTGGTTAGAGTTCAGAAACAGCACTGAGAATTTAAGCAGGCAAGATCTTCAAGGTCAGAAATTCTTTGCAAGTCAAGCTGTTGATTAATTTATGGGTTATGAGAATTAAAGATATATTTTTGTGCGCAGGAAACATTTCTCTATAACCTGGCCTTACTTAAATGAGCTCACAGGACATCGGCACTGGTGTGGTTGGTATTCAGGAAGTGCTCACCCAGGTTCCCATGTTCTGTCCCCTGCCGAGGCTGTTTCTAACCAAAAAAGTCAGTTAGAAGAACATTCATCCTGTTGAGAACTGGAGGCATGAAAAGGAGGAGGAAGTCACAAGTCATGAAAGAGAAGGTGAAAAACACTCTTAAAGAACAAATAAGCTGGGCGCCGGTGGTCATGCCTGTAATGCCAGCTACTCAGGAGGCAGAGATTAGGAAGAGCACGGTTCAAAGCCAGCCTGGGCAAACAGTTCTTGAGATCCTATCTTGAAAAAAACCCATCAGCAAAAAACAAAAAAGAGATAGTGGAGTGGCTTGGAGTGTAGACCCTGAGTTCACGTCCCATTTTTTAAAAAAAGATCAAATACTTTATATTCCTACTATATTTCTAAATCACATGCTTGCTTTTGTTAGCAAGGTCATCTTTGGTCACAGGCACACTAACATAACCCCTCAAAGCCCTGTCTCAGAAAGTTGCTTAAACACAGCTAAGTCATCTGGTTTTAGTTACATCAGACCACAACTATTTTTTTTTTACATGAAATTTTGATAAAGTCTACATTTAACTCACACAATAGAAATGTATTGACAAAAATAACCTCATGAACAAACTTTTTATTTGCTACACTTCAACACCAGATTTTACATGGGCATCTCGATTAAATGGAGAGTGTGAGGACTCACAGTGACTGGGGGCGTCTTCCAAACCCATTCTACAGAGGAAGACCTTATTACAGAGAATTCGAAGCAATTCTTTTGGATAAACAAAGAATCACATCCGTTGAAAACAATTTAACTGCCTTCCTTCTAGTATAGCATGCTGACCGAGCTGTGTTGCTATTTGTAAACAATTTAAAATCAGTAAAATTATATTTTATTACAAATCAAATCAAATAAAAAAATATGTCTTGCCAAAATAAGTCACATTAACAAAGTGTGCTTAGGGCCAGGGACTGTGGCTCCAGCCTACAATGCTAGTTACTTGGTAGGCCAAGGTCAGAAGGATTGCTATTTCAAGCCAGCCCAGGTGAAACAAAAAAATCAGACGCTTGGCATGGTAGCCTGCACCTGTTATCCCAGCAATGGGAGGGAGCATACATTGGATTGTGGTCTAGGACCAAAAAGCGAGACCCCATCTCAAAGTTAACCAAAGCAAAAAGTCTGGACCAGTGGATCAAGTGGCAGGGTAACCAAAGTGTGAGGCTCTGAGTTCAAACCCCAATTTGAACATTGTTACCATTAAGATAACAATGATAACAATAACACGGTAATAATGTAATGAGCTTTAGAAAAAGATAGTGTATTTGACAAAAATAAAACCAGGAAGCAAGGGATATGGGGAACCTTTAGCTTCCCATCTGAAAAGCACATCTTTCTCTGCCAGCGGCTCTAATTGAGTCTGGTTTTGTTTTAACCTCTGTCACGTCATCCTAGCATAACCATAACCAGAGCTGTGTTGACACCGCCTTCTGGGTGCCACCTCCATTGTCGTGACCATGGCTACTATTCCCTGTCCGCCAATGGAAGGATAATATTTGAAGGAAATTTCTCAGTGTTTGGATGACACTGTTATGATGGTTTTTCATTTATTAGCAATATACTTGTTTATAAACTATATTGAATATTTTTACCAGTATTGATGAATTTTGACATCGGTCCTTCGTGGGTGACTTCTGAAGGTTTAAATAGATTTTAGTAGCAAGTACAGTTAGAGTGCAGCACAATAGCATCAGCACCTTTGTTGGCTTGTTAGGTTAGGAAGTAGATCACATGTGATTCCTTCCTTTGACAGAATTTCCATTAGGACATCTACAAATACCTGCTGCATACTTATCAATGACTAAATGTTTATGGAGTGGATAATTTTGCTGACAATTCTAACACTTCGGCTTTTGCGATATGAAATTTTTATTTAGTCAGAAAACCTTTGTGCTTTAGAAAGCCTTTTGGCAGACAAACATCAAAAGGTGTAAACTTAAGAATTGTGTCTCAAAACCAGGAAATGCTTTGAGAACCATTATAATTTCCGTAAGCATAGTGACTTCTAAAGAGTGTGCAAATGTTGCCATCTGTTTTCTTCTTCACTCCCTCCCCCCACCATTATTGGTAGTACTGGGATTTGCACTTTGGGCTTCACACTTACCAGGCGTGCACTCTACTGCTTGAGCCATACCCAGCCCTTTTTGCTGTGGTTCTTTTGGAGAGAGGGACTCACTTTTTGCCCAGGCTCCTGAACTAAGGTTCTCCTATTTTAAGCTTTCCACCGTCACTGGGAAGACAGGGGTATACCACCACACCCAGCTTTTCATTCCTGGAGATGGATCTTGCAAATTTTTTGCCCTGGCTGTTCTAGAACCATGATCATCCTGATCTCAGACTCCCAAGGAGCTAGGATATGAGGCATACCCACCGGGGCTGCTGTTTTCTCCTATATTTTTAAGAGAAATGTATTTTTGTCCTTAAGGCTAGATTTGAAGCTGGAGGAACAAAGTATCCCAAAGTGTCTGCAAGTATGTTGGTCATTCTCAGAAAATGTCATGGTATATTCTTGTTATTAAAATCCTTCCTGGTCTCATGACTTCTTTGCTGGTCTGTTTTGATGGACTGTGGAGGAAATATAACATTTATCTTGGTAAACAGACTCAACCAAAACTGGCAAACAGATGGAGATTGAAACCAACACCTTGTAGTGTGAGGACCTTCCTTCGTGTGCTGACTAAGGAGCACACACAGTAAGCACATGGGTGCAGACTATTGCACTGACCACCATTAACTGAGGTCTCAGGGCCTGTGTGTGACATTAAGATGCTTTTGAGAGAAATGCAAAGTACAGTTGTATCTCAGGCAGTTAGACTTGATTATCCCGGAGAGACCGAGGCACAAAACAGTTCATAGGTAGTCATCTGCGTTCCTGAGGTACGCTCTGATTTCCAGGTGAGTCCTCCTGGGGAGGTAATATGTGACCCGGTTTTCCCAGATTTAAAACAGAAATCACAGAGAACACATGCAGGAGGTTCCTTCTGAGCTGCTGGCTTCACACAGATACTTTCAAAAAATCCATGACCCTTCAATCTTGGTAGAACTGTTCAATCCCAAAGTAGTAAAGCTTTGCGTTTTCAGCGTTTTTAACTCATATTTTGTGGAACTCACACAATTCAGAAAGCATGATGCAAAAATGCAATTTTTACATTTGTAATTAATGAGTAAAAGAAATTCTTGAGTGATCGATGGTAAAATGCATACAAGGGCCTTCCATAGAAATTCAGCGGATGTGCTGACTGCCACCCTCGTCACCTTGGTCTCTTGTAGTTGTCACTGTAGTCATTGGTCTTGCCTGTGTGCTGCTTCCCTGACAGCTGTGTCCTGTGGGAACCCTGGCACACCCACCAATGGCATGATCCTCAGCAGTGACGGCGTCCTCTTCTCCAGCTCTGTCATCTACGCGTGCTGGGAGGGCTACAAGACCTCAGGACTCATGACTCGCCATTGCACCGCCAATGGGACCTGGACAGGCACTGCGCCCGACTGCACAAGTGAGTCACTGTCCATCAGAGTGGACTTGGGGTTACTGCAAAGTCCATACAATTAAGAGAAGAATGTTATTTAAAATGGTTTGTTGATTCTTAAAATTCATAAAGAAAAAGGGAAACAGAAGTTTGATATCATGAGTGTGTTTCTTAGGTACGTTAAGGTCATTCTCCATGTCACATTGAGATGGTTGAAGCTACTGCGAATGATCAATTAGGTTGGGTTTTGTTAAACAAAAGGGGAAAAAATAAAGCCAAGTCTTTTTTTGTCTTTTGACCATTTAGTCTACAAAGAAATATGATATCTGGTCTTCTAGCAACAGCCATGTGTGGCCCTGCCCAGCTGTAGTGATCACACACCAGCTGTCATCAGGTGGCAGCCATTGTCCATGCTGCCTATAGATCAGGAATAAGCATTTCCAAACATGTAGCCCCCTGACAGGAGGTCAGTGAAATCCCAAATGACGTTAGTGTCTCTTTAATAATTCACTGCTTAGTCACTTTGAATAGCAGCTCACAGAGTGTCACTAGAATAGAAACCATGATTAATTCATGCCAGGATAATTTCATATTGTCCTTGTTCCTTTTCACAACTTCCCTGTTAGTTATAAGTTGTGGGGATCCAGGCACACTACCAAATGGTGTCCAGTTTGGGACGGATTTCACCTTCAACAAGACTGTGAGTTACCAGTGCAACCCTGGCTACCTGATGGAACCTGCCACCTCTGCCACCATCCGCTGCACCAAAGACAGCACGTGGAACCAGAGCAAGCCCGTCTGCAAAGGTGCGTGCCCTTCATGTTTTGGTCTGGCTGATGGGTGCAGAAGTCTATAGAAAATTGTGTTTTATTTCACAATTTATGTAACTGCTCTGGGAGCTAGAAATTCTAGGGATTACTGGGAACCCATTTGTAAATATTCAGTCAACTGTTTTCATGGTATGTTGATGTCGCCTTTACAGATGGATACACAGACTCACAAAGAAGAGTAGTGAAGAGCTCAGGATTGCAAACCACAAATGGGGAAGGTGGGGTTAAGATGCTCATCATACATCTGGAGGGTGTGTTTTAGCAAGAGCTTTGCTGTAGAGGCAGGTTAGAGACCAGCAAATCACCCGATAATGGCAGATCCTGGCACAGAGTGGTCATGCCAGGACGTTCTTGCTTTGTAAACTGATAAAGTAGACATCAAGTGCCACGGTTGTGATAAAACATGAGCAAGTGGAACTTCACAAATCTCATTTGACCACTCATGCCTTTGCTTTTTAAAAATTGTTCAGCAAATGGATGAACAGGCTATACCTTTTGGAAATTATATGCTCTGTTTAAATAAATAAAAATTAGAGATGGCAGGAGAAGTTTACCATCTGTTTGTACAAATTCAAAAGTCATATTCAAGTCATATTACCAAGTCTTCATTTGATTTATCCATGGTAGCCAACATAAAAAGCCGTAAATACAAATATGCCTTCTTCTCTTAACTTGGCCATATAGAGGACATTGTGTTCAACCCTATCCTGGTTTCCCACCCTGTTTTCTCTTGCAGTGTGTTACATTTTGACTCAATGTTCCTTCTACATACTTGACCTAAATGAATGAAGAAATATCATGGCAATGTTTTGTTATTTTGTTGATGTTGCCAGTAACTCTTTATTTATTAAAAAGGAAGAAACCCTGTGGAAAATCAAAACATGTGTCCTCAGACTGTGACAAGTGGTGGAATCTTTAATCTGCTCGTTCTTTTGCAACAGCTGTCCTGTGCAGTCAGCCTCCTCCCGTGTCGAATGGGAAGGTGGAGGGAACAGACTTTCACTGGGGCTCCAGCATCAGTTACAGCTGCGTGGATGGCTACCAGCTTTCCCACTCGGCCATCCTGTCCTGCGAAGGCCAGGGCGTGTGGAAAGGAGATGCTCCCCAATGCTTACGTAAGTTCCACAGCAAAGTGGTTGCACAGATCACCGAACAACAGCCACAGCACACCTCAGGCTGCAATGTGGGGAACGTGGTACTGTGTAATTGCAGTCAAATTACTCAGAAAACTCAAACTTGAGTCTGCATTTCCTGAGGGAGATGCCTTCCTCTTAGCTGTCTATTGGTTTAGTAGTTAAATCTGAAGATTCAACAGAAAGAGTTCAACAAGTTCATTAGGTTAAGCCACCCCCGGGACACTTAAGCTGATGTCTTCCTGGTTGTTTTCTACAGCTGTGTTCTGTGGGGACCCTGGCACCCCCGCCGAGGGGCAACTCAGTGGGAAAAGTTTCACCTACAAATCTGAGGTCTTCTTCCAGTGCAAATCTCAGTTTATACTGGTGGGATCCTCCAGAAGAACCTGCCAGGCGGATGGCACGTGGAGTGGTATACAGCCCACCTGCATTGGTAAAATGGCGACACAGCCCTGAGGGTGGCTGGGTGTTTTGGGTGGGCTACACTGGTAGTGTTCTGTGGGAAGACCTGCTCTCTGAGTGAGCAGTAATCACCTGAATGGATGTGCAGCCTCCTTCCAGTCCTGCAAACTCAATTTTTACCTAAGTCAGCTGCTCACTTGCCTGCTCCATTGGGTGCTACACCTGAATGTCTGCATGTCCATAGCTGACAGGGCTGATGATTCAGGGGACAGCTTTGTGGAAAATGCAGTTGTCACCATTCTGCAAAATAGCCACCACCATGGCAAACTGGCTGTTTTATTGTTGTGCACTCAAGTCTTATTTGGGTTAACTTACTTGTTTGTTTCTTTTGCTTTATTTTATTGAGACAGGGTCTCCCTATATAACCCAGGCTAACCTCAAACTTGCAGTCCTGCCTCAGAATCCAGAGTACTGTGATTACAGGCAGGCACTGAGAAAATGCAAATAGTAACTTAGCTTAACTTTTAACTTTCATGATATACATCTTATACATTTGTCAAAACAACATTTTCTTAATTTTGCAAGACATTTTGATAAGAATATTACAATGGGTTTTTTTTTTTATTGTGAATTTCAGATCCTGCACACAATACATGCTCAGACCCTGGAACCCCCCACTTTGGAATACAAAATAGCTCTAGAGGATATGAGGTATTTCATTTTTACCTTACATGTTTTATTGGAAATGTAAACTATAAACATATTTAAGCATATGTGTGTACATTTTGTATACCTTATCATATTCATACTATATTTGCCTGAGTTAAATTCATTCAATGAGGACTTCTGCATGAGTTTTTAACTGTCAAAATCAGGGCATACACATCTCCAAGACTATTGTAACAATGGCTTATCAGTTCCTGTTTGCAAACCTGCATAATTCTGGGGTTTTTTGGTTTTTGGAACTCAAGGGACAATTCTCAAGTTGAGGCAATTTGTCTCTGACTAGCCATACATAAAAGACTCCATGTGATGACTAGATACAATGGGCACATGATATTAAATTCTAGAGAGAAAAGAAGAAAAAACAGAAGAAGAAATTGTGTCCCAGCCTCTCTCTCCAAGCTTACTCGGAAATCTGTTTGCCAGATGATCTCTTAAAACATCATGAATTCCTACCATGTGCATAGGAACACTTTGGAGTGTTGAACTTTTAATAAAATGTATATCACTGATGCTCCAATTAATATTGGAGACAACTTAAAAATAAGAGGTATTGAAGCATGAAATGAGATGTTTTAACCATCGTAAGTAAGTAAGTAACTTCATGGCTCCCTCATGCCATGATGTTGAAAATCAAAGCTAGACATATAATCTGCTTTCAAGTTGGGAATCCCACCAATTTAAAATGAGAAACTTTTCTACTTGGCTACTTCCTCTCATCTGTACTGGAAGCTAGACTAGTTCCATTTTACTGACTCAATGGACACTGCTATTTAACATCTCTCTTGCATCCCAGGACAGAAATTCTCATAGGTAGCTGCTGGCTTAAACGTAGCACATTTTGTATCGTGTCCTAGATAAGGCCCTAAAGCTCAGGTAACTGCTTTCTGATAGATAAATATTTAATGCCAAATCTCTGGCAATTTTGGAATGTTGTTCTCTCTGGCTCACTATGAGAAATGAGTTTGAACACTGTTGATCGCCATAGCTTTCCAAAGTTCTTATTTTGGCTATGCTCAGCTCATAGGGAATGAAAGTCAAAGAGATTGTATGAGCAGTGTTTTTCTATAATCTACTGAAAAGCTGATAGAGATGGATGAATTCCTCAACTACCTTATGATAAAGTCACACAAACACAATAAGGAGATGGTCCCAGCTGCAAGACTTGCCAATACTGGATGTATGCAGACAGCATCTTTTCAAGACCAGGCTGAGATTCAGCTCTCTGATGTTTCCTTTTATCCTTCATCAGGACACATTCAGGCTTTGAATGAGAATTTTGTTTTGAAGTGCTGTATGGTGAAACATTTCCTCCACAAAGTGAGCCTTTTCAGTTGTGGGATGTTCCTGTTATAGTATGTTAATTGTGTAATTTAGGAGACTAGCTCCTAGTGTCCATCCAGGCATGGCCCAGGAGTCCACATGCCTTGGATTAGGGAACACTGCTCAGTGTAGAGTGTCTTGCTACATTGTACTAAAAATACCCTACTGAACAGGGCACCAGTATAGGCCTTTTGCCAGTAAAAGACAAGGCTTTCCTTGTCACTGGTGTGCTTATAAAACCCAATGGAAGCCATTCCTGGTGGAGGGGTGACAGGCTAGCTTCTCTTCACTGGATGTCAATTCATTATTGATTTGAAGGTTAGAAAAATTTGAATGTTTCTTTATAAATTCCTACTTCTACTTTATTGAGTGCTAAGAACTTCACTTCCCTCTTCATTACAGTGTGCCATTATAGGTCCCTTCAGGTTGACCTATAGGTGTTGCTCCTCAAAATCCCATGAGGCTGGTTTAGCTCATGCCTAAGTGAAGGCAAAGAGAGAAGGCAGGGCTGGTGGAGTAACTCAAGTGTTAGAGCGCCTGCCTAGCAGGCATGAGGCCTGAGTTTGAACCCTAGTGCTACCAAAAATAAATAAATAAGTAAAATTTTAATTTGGGCTGGCAGAGTGATTTCAACTGGGAGAGCGCCTGCCTGCAAGTGTGAGTACCACCAAAAAAAAGAATTAAGGAACTGATTTAGGTTCTCAGGGAGTGTGTGAAGAAAGACCTTTATATCCTTGGGAATCTTGCTTAATACAAAAGGGAGGTTTTAGGGCACAGCTGGTCAGCAGAGCCACCCTGGGAGCCAAGCTGCCTTCCCCTGGTGGCTGTTTTCTTTTCTAGTTACAGTGCACTTTGCTTGGCCTCCTGCTCCATGCCTGAGGGACCATGGATGACCTTACATGTCCCCATCACCTGACCACAGATCATTCTCTAAAGAAGAATATGAGTCCCCAGGGCCCTGTCCTTCAAGGCACTTTGGCTAACTTGGTAAACAGGCAAACTAATGCCCAGGCAGCTGTAGCACAGTGCCCGAGGTGCAGGGCACAGTGGACTGTAGCCATGGCGGGTGTCTATAGGGCAGAGCATCGAGGCAGCAGGGGACTTGCTTGGAGGGTCAGGAAGGAGGCACAGGAGGGATAGTCCAGCAGGAAGACACCTCATATATACCAGAAACAGACTTGAGTTCTGATGGATTCCCTCAGAGAGCAGGAGGTGGCCAGGCCTCAGGAGAGGTGACAAAAGCAATTTTCTAATAAATACCAATCATTCAAAATGGGAGTAGCAGAGTTAAAATGGAAAAGAAACTAATAGTTACAAAAAGAGAGAACTGTAAAGTGAGAGAAAACTCATCAGCCATCCTTCCTTTACCTCCAAATGCTCACCACTGGCTACCATCACTCCGCTCTTACCTACAGCTTACCTTGACATTGAATGCAATGTGATTAGGTTAGTGCATGAGGCTCTAACCAAAGCCAGAAAGTACAGCTGAAGCCAGCACAACTCCATAATGCACCAACAGGTCCCCGTGGTACAGGGTGCACCTCCCACCTGGTGTGATTTCCCTCCTGCTTGGTGTGGGGTGTCCCTCCGGTCCTGCCTCTGCAGCCCTATTACTCTCCCCCACAGGTCGGAAGCACCGTGTTCTTCAGGTGTAGGAAAGGTTACCACATCCAAGGCTCCACGACCAGGACCTGCCTTGCAAACCTCACGTGGAGTGGGATCCAGACAGAATGTATACGTAAGTGGGGTTCCCTCCTCCACCGTCAGTAAAATCCATCATTGGTGAAAGCCTCAAGGAAGAGGGGGGAACTGCTCTGTTTTCTTTGGCTTTATTTTCTCAATCCTAAACTCTGAGAGTTTCTCCATGTTTAGTGACCAGACCACAGCAGGGCCTGAGCTGGTGGTACCCCCAGGACTCAGCTGCCCAGCCCTGCTGGTGCAGAATCTCAGGAGGGGAGCAGGGGCTACAGTTAGCCACCTGCCTGAGGACATGAGGGCAGTGAAGTCAGGGCAACTGAAGGGGTGACACTATGAGGGGGATGTGTGATTGTGTGTACTTACCCTTCTGTGTTTGCAGCTAGCTTACTGGGTCATGTAGAATGTCAGAGACTAAGTGTTTGTGCTTTAAAGACCTTTTTAGTACAGTTTGAAGTATGTAAAGAACACATCACTTGAATAATTATGGAAGGACAAGTTTATTTTGTGATGTAACCATGGGAACTAGAAAAAATGTGGTGGGAACAATTAGCAGATCAATCATTCATTTCCCCTGCTACTAATTTAATGAAATACTGTATCTTCCTGAAGCATTAATAGGATGTTATGAAAAATTATTTCAATAGAACATAGTGTTTAATTTCTTGTGTATGTATCAGAATTACAGAGGTACACTTATTTCAAGGCTGTAGTCTCTATATCACTACACAAACATGGATACATTTGTATTTATTTGCATATGCCTGCATATATACCTATAAAATGAAACTTGCTAGTAACTCAGGTTGAAAGAGTAAAAGCTTACTGAAATGTGAAATGCTGACACTAAAGCAATTGAATTCACATTTTTTAAATTATAAATTCATTTGATAGTAATCTGTCAAGTCATTTATTTGTGTAAGCTTTATTAAAAATGAAGGTTAGGTATAGAATAAACACCATAATCACACTTATTCCTAAATTATATTTAAAGGACATAAAAATCTATATTTTTAGTAAGTTCCCAAATGCACTTCAAATTTTTGCCATTCATTTAACTAAACAATAAATTTATTTTTTGCCACCTAACAAGCATCAAGGTGTATTTCTGAGTGTGTGCCTGTCAGGTTATTTAACCTGAGTTATTAATAACTCATTATTCATCTTCATATCAAAAGTGTTCTGTTTATTTCAAAGCTGGGCTCTCTCTCATCACATGTGCTGACTTAAGAATGTACGAAGTTTCTGTATTCCCTTTTTAAAATTTTTATTATTATGGCTGTGAGATTCACAAAAGTGCTTACAATATATCTTAGTTAGCTTCATCCTTCCACCATTTTACTCATCCCTTCTTCTTGTAATACTTACCCCTCTTAGAATAGTTTCAAAGGTGTCATTGTCCTCTTTTCATACATGAGTACGTATTTCTGCCACATTCACCATCCTTCACCCTTTCCTTACGTCCTGCCCCCTGCCCCTGGCACCAACCCCCAGACAGGACCTGTTTTACCTTCCTGTCCTTTCTTTCTGGCTCTTGAGCCACTCTGGCGGCCCCTGCATCTCCTCATGGAATAAATTCTCTTCCAGCGCATGCCTGCCGGCAGCCTGAAACCCCAGCACATGCCGATGTGAGAGCAATCGATCTACCTGCTTTTGGCTACACCTTGGTGTACACCTGCCATCCTGGATTCTTCCTTGCGGGTGGATCTGAACACAGGACGTGTAAAGCGGATATGAAATGGACAGGGAAGTCACCTGTTTGTAAAAGTAAGTCACTGATGGAGGCGGGAAAGTACCTTCCTGGAGAGCAGCACAGAGCATCACCTGCCCATCGGGGTGGAGTGCAGGTGTGAGGTCCAAGATGGAGCAGGGTCCTCCATCACTCTGGCTGACCACACTGGGTGCCTGAACAATGTGTGTGGATGTGCACATAGTGTCTGATCCATGCATCAGGGCTGAGAGGACATAGGGACTTTGTTACTTGCTAACTACTCTTTGAGCCAAAGAGAAAGGCTGTTGGGGTAAGGAAAAGCATTCTGAGTTAAAAGAAAAATAATACCCAAGATGTTATCAAAAATTAATTTCTTAAAAGTGAAAATATAAGGAAATTTGCCCAGTTTCTGCAAATATATAAAAACTGTGATATTTTTAAGTCCACAGGCTGTCTGGTGACAACAAAAGTTTACGTATTCTTGACATTGGTTTTTACAAAGGCAATTAGTATGAAAAGGACGCTTTAATTACTCACAAACCTGAGAGTCTAGAAATGAGATAACAAGTCTGGGCGAGATGTAATGACAGCAACCCTATCAGATTCTGACCAAGCATAGACATGTGTGCCCTAGTACCAAGCAGCTTCGAACAGACACTGGGGGTCAGGGCCTCCTGGACTTGAGCGAGCTTCCTGGTGCCTTAGTCACCGTTCTCCAGCTGGGGACTTTTAGGATACATTTCCCTTGCCCTTTCCATCAGAAAGAGAAGAGTACAAACATCAAAACATAACAATTTGTAGTTTGCTAGAAGACTTAAGAGCTAAGAGATCATAAGTTATATCTAACTTGATAGACTGAGTTAACCAGTATGCAAGGGAAATTACTTGCTGTTTTTCAATATAAAACCATAAATTCATTGACTTCAATAGGGGATTGAACATTTCAGAGGGGTGATGAACTCTTAGTGGTTTTGGATGTACCCTTTAGCGCGAGGCAGTATCCCCCAAATAAGCCATTGGGAACTGATATAAACCACCCTAATTTGCAAGGCTCTCTGTTGTAGCACCGTCAATGAAACACACACCCGATGGGTGCACGCAACTCACCACTGAGCTCAGATTTCCCACAAACACAAGTCTATCCTGCTGGAAATACGTGGGTTTAAAATGCATCTGTGTACAATATTCAGATTTTGTACATTAAGAAAATCTGGAGAAAGGAAAATTGCTTCAATTTGACATTTTTTTTCAACCTGATTCAAAAATTAATGTTTTTGAAAATGATAATTTGTCTTTTTACTTGTAGGTAAAGGACTGAGAGAAGTAAATGAAACAGTTACTAAAACTCCAGGTTTGTATACCAGACCAGTTATAGCTCTCAATCAAGGAAAGTCCTTTGTTCTCTACTGTACTCTGCACAGTGAAACGACTTTTAGCACTTAAATCTCTGAACCCATTGCTCCATGGCAAAGTTAACGCTTCAATTATTTAAAGCACCAAGCCTGCACAGATTTCTCCTCTCTCCCCAGGGATTTGTTAGTGGAATAATAGCACGACATAAAAGGGAGGCCATGGTGGGATTGCTCAGTTGCACCAGAAGAGCCCTGGGCATCACAGGCAGAAATGGACACCCATCTGACCACCCGTGGTATGACGGAGAGCCTTCTAAATAGGGTTGCAGTTCTTCCTCCACAAGGGGCGCTAGCTGGCACATGCAAGGCGTTTGGCAGTGGAAGTTGCCATTTGAGCCCTTCAGACTCAAAGTGGAGCCCCACCTTTTTCAAACACTTCCATAATTCAGGCATCCTGTCTTCTACCATTTTGGTGACAGCCTGCCGTTGTGGCACTTGCCAAACACATCAGGCGGCCAGCCCAAAAGTCCCATTCTTAAGAAAATTGTTCATTACTTGAAATCACTTGGTATAACAGATCTGGGTTATAAATTTGGGGACTACTGCAAAATAGAATGTGTTTCTAGAATAAACTAATTTAGTCATTTAAGCCAGTTTTTTTTTTTTAACCAGAAATAGTAAACCTTTGTAACTATATAAGGTTACTTGACAAGGATTTTCCGTATTTGAGTTTTAACCCTGGTTTCCTGAACAAAAGCTCTATTTTGGAATCAATACAGAAAGAATATTTTCAATGCTATTAATTCAGAATTCCATGCTACACGTTTAATTCTAGATGAGGCAAAATGTGCCAATATGGTTATAGAAATCTCTCCAATGTACACAAAGAAGCAGGAAAACAAGTTCTTACCTTTTGTGGTTATTTCATTTAAATATTACTTACAAATTAAGGGGAAAATCTGAATATGTTTTTCCAGACAACAGTTTCATCAATAGAAAGCACCACAATATGTTTTTGTTGTTGTTTTGTGGTTTTTTTTCTGGCTTTTATTTGCTGGTTTTGTTTTTAGATACTGAAGTACCAGAAATGGTTTTTGTGGGTGCAAATGTGATCATTGCTATCTTTTGTCCTCTCTGAAGGGAAGTTATTAAATATTTCTTTACCAAAGTGGTTCATTCTGCCACAGCTCAAGTAATTTATTGCTGTCTTTGCTTGGACACTGTGAGCAATAAATAAGTCAGATGACAAGGACCCTAGAAGATGGCCTCTCCCCCAGGACTGATGACTATATTTTAGACAGACAAAGCTCCTGTCAGGCACACCCATCTCTGGGATGCACAGTGGGTAACTCTAGTGTACGTTCATATGTTCAGCTCTAATGGAAAACAATTATTTTAGAGGCTCTTCATTTTAATAAAGTAAGTTAAATCACTTTAGGTTGCCAGTCAAAATGAGGGCCTCTGTAAGTCTGCCAATGGACGAGGACAAGTGTTTTAGGTCAGTTACTTATACACAAAGGTCTTAGACAAATCTTTTTTGGGGGGGAGCAGTACTGGGGTTTGAACTCAGGGTGTCACACTCGCAAGGCAGGTGCTCTACAACTTGAGCCACTCCACCACCCCAGACACTTACCTCTTAAATGATGTCATTTTATTGCTCGTGCCCTTTGTGAGTAGGTTGGGTCAACTCAAAGCCATAGGAGGCTGTCAGATTCTGTTGTTCTGTAAGACAGGTGCAGGAGATAGCATCTGCTGAGAATTCATCATTTCTTACTGTAATTGGATTTGCTAAAAAAAAAAAACAAACAGTATATTTAGGGAGAAATGAATCCTTAATCCTACCTAATAGCTCAGTGTGCTTTGACCAATTGCACTTAGAGTGAATTTTGTACAGTTAAACGATTTAGGCACAACACATCATAAGGCAGGAAGCAACCAGAGCCTTGCGGACACACTGATGGAGCATTACACACTGTCATACTGCTCGTTTTTATATTAATATCACCAAATTGGCAGAATTGCATACATGCGTATTAACAGAGGTTTGCAAAATAAATTCAGTATTTTTATAAGCAGTGAGAAGAGAGAAAATATCTCCATATGCGTAAGATCTGATGGCTTTCCTGATTAAAGAAGAGTTAGGCCTTTCATTTCTGAATTGAGGCATACAGGAAAGGAGCATTGACGCGAGCACAGCTACCTTCCTTTCACATGTATGAATGGTTTAAACAAAGAGATTAAAGTGGAGTAGAATGAGTAAGAGAGAAAGGGACTCTACTTATGAATTCTGGCCCCCAGGGAATGAAAGTCCACAGTCCTCACAAGCCAGCATCCACCCCAGATCCAGAGATGCCAGCTTTTTGGGTACGAGGAATTCCTGATTGATGAACTTGACCATGTCAATCCCTTTGAGCTTTCCATGGCTGCAAAAGACTAGACCTGGATGTTAGTGAGCTCTCAGTAGCAGGCTTACAGATCAGATTAATACCTCTCACTGAGCACAACTGGAACTAAGCTAAGGTTAGCAGAATCTATTCACCATACCCACTGATCTAGGCGGGTCTGTTAAAATAGGAATGCCTGGGCTTCTAGAAGACTCCCCCACAGAGCGACTAGACTCTGTGGATACAAACAACTGATCCACCTGTTTCTTTGGACCTTTATCCACCCTGAGAGGACAGTGCACAGGGTATTCCTGTATTCGTCATTGTGAGAACAGGGTCTCTCACTCCAAATATTATGCCTTCTGTGTTTAAAAGTGTCCTATGTGATGCCTGTGTGTGCTCACCTTCATCTGTTCACCCCTCACAGTTCCCTCAGACGTATTTTTCGTCACTTCGGTGTGGAAGGGATATTATGAGTATTTAGGAAAAAGACAGCCGGCAACGCTGACCGTTGACTGGTTCAATGCCACCAGCAGCAAGGTGAATGCAACCTTCACCGCAGCCTCACAGGTGCAGCTGGAGCTCACAGGTAGGCCCCGAGGTGCACAAGGCACACATCCCTGCCCTATGGGGTCCCAGGCATGAAGCCCTCCAAACACCACGTTGGCTTGGTGTGCAAGGCATCTCGGCACTGTCCATAATCGTGGCTGAGTGGGACTATTTTCTCATTCTGGTGATCGTGGAACTAGTTCAGAAAAGCCAGTGAATGGTCTCCAGAGTGTGTGCTTAGCACGCCAAGCCAAGGCTCTGACACACCCAGATGTACATGTCTCTAAATCACGTTATTTTGACCCCCTACATACATGTTCATCACGAGCTTTGTCACCACACAAGGAATAAAATGACAACCTTAGACAAGAAATTCTGCTTTGTATGTCAGCACTTTTATTTCTCAAGCACTTCACATATATCATCTTTTTCATTCTTGCACAAATTCTTTGACGTAAGTACTTTCATTCGCATACATTTTCTTTTTTACTGGTTTAAAGAAAGAGAGAGAGGGTGGCAAAGAGAAAGACGGACAGTAAGTCCCAGGAAAATTAAGTCACTCTCCTCAGGTGATGGGGAAAGTGGCTGGCAGAGGCAGGATTCGAACTCAGCATTGGGTCCTTGAGCTCATGCTCTTAACTGTTAAGTGCGGACCCCTTCACCTGTGTAGTGATTCTGAATTTCAGCTACATACTAGTTTCCTATACTGACTCCTAAAGTGTGGCTGGTCTCCTTAAATTATCCACAAGTTGCAGCCCTCATTCTAAATGCCAGAGACTCCAGTGTCTTCCTCTCTCTCAGTAGGCAATAGACAGATTCACCATCATTGGGGGGTTTGCTAGCAGCCCCCCACCCAACCCCCACATTCCTCTTCCTGTTTCTGTGGATAGAAAAACATTTAAAGTAGTATACATGTCCAGGATTGGGAGAACTACAATACTTCTGTTCGCAGATGTCAATGGGTGCTTATTTATAAAGTCATGGTCTCTAACCCATGTATTTCCTTGAATGTGCAAATGATTTAGACTAGGAAATTAAATCATAGTCTGCTATCAGGAAAAACTAAGGAGCTTTAAAAAATATTTAAATTCCTTAGTCTTGCATAAATGCATTGGCTACTTTGCCTTGTACAATTGGAGCTTCAAATGTTTTTCCCCAAAGAAAATGCTCCTGTAGGATTTCAGGGCTCCTGATCTCCATGGATCAGTGTTGGGAGATCCATTTCTGGATCTAGGACATTGGAGTAGAGGGTCGGTCCTGCTGAGTCCCAAAGACATACTGACTTCTGGCACTTGGTCTTGAGGTGAGGAGTGAGCAGTGGGGAGGAAAGGAGACGGCGTTTACGGAGCACCTGCCATATGGTGCTATATGGCTGGTGCTGCTGTTTAACCCAAGTAAAAATCTTCATCAGATGAAGTTTGTTATCTCTCCCTGTGTCTCACAGAGCCCAGGTTCAGAGTTTTAGAGGTTAGATGGGTGGCCAAAGACTACAGAGCTGTCATTGTTGGGGAAGAGCACCTGGTGAATTACAACCTGGGCTCTCCTGTTGTCACTGAGCAGTGGTCCCTTCCCACCTGTGTTCTGCCAGCAGAAACAGCTCTTAGGATATTGTAGATTTGCTTTTCTATTATGACTTAGTGAGAATTAATTGCTGCATTTTTGGGAACTTTTTGCACCTGTCTTCTCTGCATATGGGACATGATGAGTTCGATATTATTTGTTCAATATTTGTTCATTTGCATATTTACTTATCTCCTCTTTTGATAGGGAACTAATTGCAAGTACAGCTCACACCCACGTGCACCCTCCCCTACCTCTTTTCCACTGTGTGAAGTGTAGGTGACAGGTGCAGCTGCTCTTGCTCCTTGGTCCCTCTGAGCTCCTCTCTGGGGCTGCCATGTCTGTCCTCTCTCTTTCCTTACCATGCTGCTCCTTGGGTCATACCCACTGGTCATCCGTATGAATTGTTGTATTTAGAGTTAGGGTTTTGATCTGCTTTTCTCTATACTCCTGTCCTTAGAAGCAAAGAAAACACTGATGAAAAATGTTGGTCCTTTTTGTTAGTAGAATTGAATACATATTCCTTTTGCCTTCCTATGGGATAACAGTGTTGAATTTAATGAAGTGGGTTATACCCATATGAGACAGATCCACTCAAAGACTTTAATAAGAAGTGATTTTTAGGGGGAGAAATGGCCTTAACAATGTATGCACATAGGAATAAATGAATAAAGAAAAAAGAAGTGATTTTCAGTGGGGGAAAAATGTTCTCACACTCAAACTTAAAATTAAGAACAAAACTTCTGTTTGAACTTTCTCTGGATGCCATCATCTCTGTACCATATTGTAAATCAGATGAACTAAGTGGCTGAATGGCTGCTTCCCTTGATGCCTCAGTGTGGGACTGACAACATTGATCTTTTCAGGGGTCTACAAGAAGGAGGAGGCTCACTTACTTCTGAAAGCCTTTCATATGAAAGGACCCGTAGATATTTTTGTAAGCAAGTTTGAAAATGACAGCTGGGGACTCAATGGTTACGTAAGTACTCATGCGAGCTGTGCTCCACACCCCTCCTCTCACAAGGGAAGACACTGAGTCTGTGAAATGAGACATAAACTGGCCCAGAGTGAAGGGATTGATAGTGCTGAGGACAAAACAGAGCCTGAGTTCAGGTCCTGTGCCATTAACTCCATGTCCTTCCCACTGTAAGAACATGCAGGTCCAGGTTTTCCAGGACCACCTTGCCTCTGCTCTGTGAGTTCTAAGCCAGTCATTTCCAATTGACGAGCAGAATACTGACATGTTCCCCTGAATATCCTTCTTTACAGGTTAACATTTTGTGCCCTACTCACTGTCTGACAAGGGTACACAATCTCACATGATGTACACCAGCCGGTAGCTGCTACTCTGGGTGAATCCTACCTGACGAGGGTGATTTACTTACTCCGGTGTCCCCTTCAGGAAGGATAGCTACCCTGTAACTGTGTTGTGAGGGGGACTGCCACTTCAAGAGCCAAATTGAGATAGCATTTACTAAGTTACCTGAAGTTCACCTCTATTGATTTCCAATTTTTTACTATAAGGATGTCACACAAAGGATTTTGGAAACATAAAATTGTGCAGTTGCAATGGCCAGTCTCCTTCCTTCTCATGCATCTCTCTTCCTTCCCCTGCACCCAGGTTTCCTCAGGACTGGAGAGGGGAGGGTTCACCTACCAAGGCGATGTACATGGCAAAGACTTTGGGAAATTCAAGCTAGAGAGGCAAGGTGAGCTACCTCTTCCAATTCTGCTAAAGCTAGGGCCAGTTTGACCTTCAAATGTTCCTGCCGAGAAGAAAGGGAACGTTCATGACTTCCAAAGAGAGAGAATAAAAACAATGGAAGGGACTGGTATATTTTAAGACTAAATGCAAAACAGATTCCTTTGACAAGAAAAATAGGCACCAAGTGGAAGCAATGCAATAAATACTTCAGATACATAATGTCTTTACTATACAAATATTTAAAGATAAAACGCAGATGAAATTAATAAAAATAAAACAAAGGAGAAACTCAGTTTTGCAATGAGCAAACTGTACTACCCTAAGAAAACTAAGAGTTGTTTAAGGAAAAGTAAGTGTGGTCAGCACATCTAGGAAAAGGTCTTCAGACACATGTATTATATAAAGTAAGAAAGTTAAATTATTTTTAGTTATCAGAAAGCCAAAGTTTAAAAACGATGGTTTGGGGTTGATACAACAGATATCAAGTCTGTGACCTTGGTGGGGGAGGGAGTGGACGTGGACAACTCAGCAGCCCTCTGTCATCCAACAGGGCTCTCCAGAATTTTTAATGAGGCAAGCGTAAAAACTGGCTTTTGCATATCCAGGTATTTTTGAATCAAGACTATTTTTAAAAGTTAGAAATAAGCTGTGCAGGCTGTAGATGGAGCTTGGTGGCCTGGGTTTGAAGACTGCTAACATCACAAAACTCAAAACCAGCCAGGTTTGTTTTTTTTAAAATAATAACTCCTACATGTTACACATCTGTCATCAAGGAATTGCTTCAATGGATAATTTTATGCAGTGAATTACATTGAAGAGGAAGCGATTTGCTTAGCATATTTCATTCAGGGAATGAGGGCTGTGGACTAACAGGGGAAGCTGTTCTTGAGATGCATGAGAAGAATTCGCTCTACATGGAGAGACCCTCCTTCCTGCTGTCCATCCTCCACTCTGGTTTTCACCTTGGCCATTAAAGAAGGAGCAGCTGAACGATCACTTGGTTTACCTCTTACCTCATCCACTTGCTGTTTTTAGAATGAAAAGTGAGTTGCAATGTTCTCGAGTCATTTCTGAAAGCTCAGTACAGACACTGGGGTTGTCAGAAAGATGAGCCAGATGTGCATTGCTCACCTGGGCTCTGTGCACACAGAAGTCAAGATCCGTGTCTGCACCCGCACACGGGCAACGCATTTGTATCATGAGATTAACACTGTGCTCTTCCTGAATGATGTGGACAGCTTTACACTGCTCTGTAGAAGAGTGTTTACACACTGACATCATGAAGAAGAACACCACGAGCAGGCGCCGATATCAGAGCCACCTTCAGAGAAAAGGAGGAGACCGTGGTGACTGTCACTGCTGAACCCACCTTCCCAGGCCGGTCTCCAGCTCCTGAAGGATTGCTCAGGAAAGACGTAGCAGCCTATATATTAACATACTCAGAAAAGGAGGAGAACCAGAATCAGAAAGGATAATTAGTCATAAAATACTCCCCCCATTCCAAACACGTATCATTAAACAGAAGAGCTTTAACTCATAATGTCAGCAACAGCCGAGAGAATGTTTCAACTGGATTATATTATTTTTGGGTAATGGAGTAGAATAAATGCAGTAGTCCAACACTAATGAAGGGTAAAGTTTTTCTCTTGCTCTAAGCCAAACCCCATAGTCCCTTATTCCCCTTCCGCCCTATTCCCCAAGCCCTATTCATTTTCAGGACACTCTGGTGAGCCACGCAGGACATGTCGATGTCATCTTGGTTACTCATCCCGCTCACAGACCCAAGCTATTGCTTTGCTATTGTAAAATTTCTACACAGCAACCCATTCTTTTTAGCCTGACAAAATGACAGCTCAGGTTGGCAAGTAATCTTTATTCTCCTGTGATCAAGAGCTTATTGTCAGGACCAACAATTTGCTTCACAAAATAATCTGAATCCCAAGCAAGTATCGTATTGAACTAATGAAAGGGGTGATGCTTCCATGACCCTCCAGCCGCCATCATTCATCTCACAGGGAGGCCCAAGGCCTATTTTTGTGGATAAAAACAAACGTCTTCATAGTCTCCAGTCAGTAGATAAACCAAAAGAAAGTGATTTTTCATTGAATGGATATTTGAAGTCAAGCTAATTTGAAAGGCAACTTTAATGTAAAAAACTTGTCAAAGAAACTCAGCAGATATTGGTTTTCTTATTAAAATTGAATGACTGCCCCCACATACAGAATGAGAGAAAATCTGTGAAAACCATGAATCTGACAGTTCACTTGTATGGCTTTGCAATACCGAGACTGATGACTGGCGGTGGAGCAGAGCCCAGCTCTTGGACACAGTATTCCTTAGGGAAAGATGAATCAAAACCTCATGGGACACCACATCGTGAAGTGGTGTAGGACACCTGTGGTAAGGAAGTGAAACAGGTGTGGGCAAGTAGATGAAGGAATTAGAACTCCGACTTTGCCCATAAAATGTGAAATGGGGAGCAACCACGGAGAGCAGTCTGGCAGGTCAGCATCAAACAGTTAAGACCCAGCAATTCCATTCCTACTCAAGGAGCCAAGAGAAACGTGGTCGGGCCAAAACTCATATGCAAATGCGTATAGTAGTGTTTTTCTTAATATCCCAAATCTGAAAATGTCTCAATTTTCCATCAAATAATGAACAAAGGAAAAGTGGTATGTCCCTACAATGGCATATCATTCAGCTTTAGAAAGGAATCTGACACATGATGCAATGTAGACAACCATGAAAACACGTGGCTATGTGAATGAAGCCAGTCATAAATAACCCATTTTGTGTGACCCCATTTATACGCACTGCCGAGAACAGCAAATCCACAGGGATGGGAAGTTGAGCAGTAATCTCCTAGGCTGGACGTAGGGTGACAAATGACTGCTGAGGAGGTCTGGGATTCTTTTATGGGGCAACAGTTGTCTAAATTAGATTGTGGTGATGATCACACCCTGTTGTGACTAGCCTGAAAAGCCACTGAAATGTGTGTACAGGGAAGTGGACAAACTGTACAGCATGTGAAGTTCTTTTAGATAATGCTCTCAAAACAGTTGAATGACTGCGTGGGAATGGTGACACACATGTACCCTCCTAGCACCCGCGAGGCTGAGGCAAGAGGATTGAGTTTGCAGCCAGCCTGAGCTGCATAGCGAGACTCTTGTCACAAAAGACAAGGGCTGGCTCCTCAGGAGGTGAAGACAAGAAAGTTGTGGTTTGAGGCCAGTCCAGGCCAAAGCTGGGCATGGTGGTGCAGATCAGTAACTCCAGGTGCTCTGGAGGCGGAGGTGTCAGAATCGTGGTCCAAGGCCAGCCCAGGGGAAAGTGCAAGACCCCATTTGAAAAAGTGATAGCAAAAGAACTGGGTCACTGAGAGGCCCTGAGTTCAATCCCCAGTTCCAACAGAAGAAAAACAGAAGAGCCCTCAAGGGCTGGGGACATAGCTCAGTGGTCATATAGCCAAGATGCTTGTCTAGCATGTGCAAGGCTCTGGGTTTGATCTCCAGCACTGAAAAGTTAATAGATAGATAGACAGACAGACAGATAAATAAAAGGTGTGAAAAGATGTTGATATTTATTCTTAAGACAAATATATTTAAAATAAAAAACTATGCAGTTAGATTTGTCAGAGGAGTGGTGATAATGTGGGAAGGACAAGCGATGGCAGGAGGAGACGGGAAGGGGACGCAGTGGTCAGAGATCGCCTGCTGTCCATGTGCTCCTGATGGCCCATAAAATAGCGACTGGGACAGGACTGGCACTCCTTTTAAGCGCGCCGTCAGGTCAGATGCAGCAACACCTAGCAGGATGACTTGTGTCAGGTCGTAATTCCACCTAGAGGTCATCCTGTGTAAGGAGATGCCCACTAATGCAGGGATGCAGATGGAGGACTTGTTGCAGTGTTACAGAAAACGCCTGGGAATTGCCAAACGTCCTTCAGCTGTGCACGAGCTAAATAAGCGCTGGCGTGTCCAATCAACAAAGTCCTGCACACCTTAAAAAACTGAGTGTGTGTTTACTGAAGAAACTCAAATAGATGGATGGTTAAGTTCGAGAAGCCACATAAAAGTGTGCACAATATTTTTAATTTTTTAAGACTATCAGAGTGAAAAGGGAGATAACCACAGAGTAATGCTACGTTGTTGGACGGATGCTAGAAATCCCGACACCTGTAAAGGGGTCGAAAGGTAGACTGGGCGAGGGACGATCCTTTAATTTTACCTTCCCTGTCATCTGATTTCGTACTCTTTCGTGTCATTGCACTCAGTACTGTGTCTGTACTGCCCTTTGCATAATTAAAGTGAGCTACGTGACTGGGATTAAGTAGGGTCCTCCAGGTACCACAGTGACTGCCGAGTAAGTGTGGTTGTAGAACTCACAGAGACCTCTGCGTCGTTCCGTGCGATGATGTAAGGTCTGTGTTCTGCACACTTTCCACAATTTTATTGACTAAAACTTTTGGACAAAACATTATGGACCAAAGTATAAAGTTTTGTTTTCAGATAATAGGAAATAAGTGTGGTTAATTTCCATAAAAGACACAATTTTTAGAATGAGGCAGGTAGACTCACAGAAATTACAGATGCCTGGAGAATGAGACATGGTGACCTCTCCTGACCCCAATCTCGGAAACGCATCCTGCCTTCTAGGATCTATGACAGTTCTAGGATTCAAGAGAGAATCAAACCAACAGCACGCTGACTTCTAGTGACCATGGGTTGGGGCGAGCCCTTGCTCTGTGCCAGGCATTGTTCTAAGTGCCTGGGATGCAGTGCCTCATTTAAAGTTTGCATCAGCCTTACACAGCTGGTGTCCTTTGCATAAGGAACCCGCTGCACAGCGCCTCCTCTAGCCACTGGGTGTTACTGCGGCCACCTTTGCTACAGCTGGCAGCATCAGGAATCTCTTGATGTGTCCTCCAGGCTCTGGCACCACCCCAGCCACAGGAATAGATGTGAAACCACTTTGGCTTAGCCTCACTCATTCAAAACCAGTGCCCCAGAAGAAACATTCAAGTGGCCTTGCCGGACTCCCGTGTCCATCCCCTGGAGGCTCCAAAGAACAGAGAAAAAGATTCCAGCATTTCCCCTTGCATGATAATGTGCAAGGATCTCAAAAAGACACACATCAGTTACAAAAGGCCAATCCAGTCCACAAAAAGCCAATTGCACTTGCATATTCACGTGAGGAGAGCAGTACTTTGATACAGAGGGCCAGAATATTTGCATAAGTTCGGTGACTGATATTGTGCTATGTCTGGTCTCAGGACAGGGGAGGGAAACAAACACTCTGCCTGTAGACAAAAAATTTTGAATGCTTTCTGTTGTTTTTGTGCAAATGCAAATATCTACAATTAAAAACAAAGGTCAAGATGTAAACTGAATCATTCGTCTTTCTCACTTGAATGGTGAGCTCTTTCAGGATCTCACAATACCACTGAATGTTAGTACAACTCAGGTCTTGTATCCTGGTCGTTATAACAGATATGAAAGTCTTCAGGAAAAAGTGTCAGTCAGTTACCTTTTGAATTGGAAACTCTACTTCTTATAGAGTTCATAGTCACTCATAAATTTTATTGTAAGTACTGTTTTGTTTAACATAGTATAGTAACTGCAAATTTAAAAATTCCTTCTATCTTCCAGATCCTTCAAACTCCAATCAAGATTCTTCAAATCATTACCAGGGAACCAGCAGTGGCTCGGTGGCAGCTGCCATTCTGGTTCCATTTTTTGCTCTAATTTTATCAGGGTTTGCGTTTTACCTCTACAAACACAGGTACTGCAGAAATGTGATTTATTGGAAAGTGTTTTGAGTGAATGTGAAGTATTGCTTTGAGTGGTGGTGGACACTTGCACTCACATGCACAAGTATTTATTTCATATTGCTTTGCGTGTTCTTTCTCTTGGTACACGAGTGCTTGTGCGCTTTCTTAGACGAGAATGTTCAGATGCCAAGGTTTTCATTTGGGGTTTCCTTTGATTTTGTCCTGCTTTTTCAGTAGGGCACATGTGAGTCATAAGTTTTAAAGAAGTAAATTCCTGAGCTAAGCACAGCATGCTTTGCCAGGCAGCTGTGGAACATTGAGAAGGAGCTGACCTCGTCAGAAGGAGGCACAGGATGGTCCCCACGGCCCTTTTCACTCTATGCTCCTAGGATTTATTCATCTTTGTCTCATCACCTCCTTCAGAAAATAAAAACTGTGCTGTTCTCATGCATCAAACAATAATATCTATTCAATAATATATTCTATCCCCTAAAAAGATGCCCCAATTAGTATTAATTTGCGAATCTCTATTACTTGGAAAATGTCAAAACTTGGAGGAAAAGAACTTTAATGGACAGTCTCCTTTTCTTTGGGTTATTGTGGATACAGAACAATTTAATGTTTGTGGAGGAATTACAAATTCCTCGCACATGTCTATATGGATGATATGCTACATGTCAAATTGCTCTAAAATACAATTTTGAATTGCAGCTTTCCCTACAAACAATAACAAAAATCATGGTACCCTGGAATAAGGTTAAAATATATTAAATGTCTCAATTGTTTTTTGTGTAATACACATATTTCTACTTCATCCTGGTTTCAAAACCAAATCCAGCATGGGATAAATACTATTAATACCCCATGGAACACCTTCTCTAAAAAGTGCTTTCTTAAGTTTTTTAAAATATAAAATGGTAAGAATAGCACTTTAGACTTCTCTCCTCTCAGCAGTCTTCACTTTTCTGTAGTCGGCAAGGTTCTCACTTTAAAATAAAACCTGAGGAAACATGGCATTGTAAACGCCCAGCGGGCATTTACAAAATTAAAGACTGGCACACCTGTGTCATTATTTGCTTTCATTTTGAGGGAAAATATGCTGTGGACACAGCACTGGTGAGCCTTACCCTCAAATTTCTGTTCAGGGCTGGATTAAAAGTCAACAAATGTAGACATTTAAGCCATGGCCTACTCCAGTACCATGTCTTGATTGGAAGTGTGTCTCTTCTTAAAGAAGAAATTAAATTAAAATTAAAATTAAGTTAAAAATGCATCAGCTTTCATAAGTTTCTCTATGGAGACACAGGCAGGAGGAATACGTAATTCCTACAAATTCAGTGTTTCTCTTGGCATCCGCATTTCCCCCAAGAGAAGGGTCTAACTCCTCAGGGCAGAATCCCAGTCTCTGACCCTGTCAGGTGAGTCAGAGTCCCCCGAGCCCCTCTCAGGCCTTGAGCCCAGCTGGACTTTATCTCGTCAGAGAGCCCGGCCTCCATGTTCCTGGGGATGAGAACATGTACATGGGTCTGAGTGTCTTGTCCTTTGACACGGTAACCACAGGCAACTGCCTACATTCATCTGTATGTGAAATATGACTTCAGATTATATCTTAATCCTAAAACAGGGTGTCATGGGCCGTATGTGGCACCATTGCAGCTTTAGTCTGCAAACCCTGGGGGCCTCCCATGGCTCCGTGGTGAGGTGTCTTATGAAGGAAGCCTAGGTACGGCCCTCACACCACAGCGCCAGCAAGGAGGGCAGCCTCACCATGTTTTTTTATGAGGCTCCTCTGGTCTGGAGGCCATTTGATGTTATGGTGTTGGGGCCTCCATCCCAATCTGAGAAGCCAGGAGGCTGAAAGTATTAAAGGGGCTCTTCTCCATGCTCTCAGGAGGTCGCTGTGAAAGCCACTGTGGCTCACAGATGGGCAGGTCCCTCAGTTCCCTACTTCCCTGCTATACGAGGAAGGTGGGAATTTTTGCAGAAGCAAGCAAGGAACCCCAGAGCCTGGTTGCCAGGCCTTTATTAGTCATGTTCTTCCCAGGAAAGCCACCAAGCCCTTCCTTTCTCCCCACTGTCTTCTCAGCCCTGCAGACTGAAACAGGTCCAAAGTGCAGACTTGTATTTCTCCAGATAAGACCGTGTTTCTACTCATGCCTGACTCCCTTTCACTCCCTGTGGACTGGGGGCATTTTGTCAGCCAAATCCCAGGTCCTCAGCATTCATGAGGCCCATGTCATCTCTGCAGGCTCTGCCTGCCTCTCTTCCAACTCTGGTTTGTGTCTCTCCCTTGTAGTGAGTCAGTGGGGTCCTTCGTGGTCCCTCGAGGTCCCAGTGACTGAGCACCAAATTCAGCCAGGCCTCTACTCAGTAACACTGGACTGAATTTGTTTACTAACTTTTGCTGCCCAGGCGTGTTCCACGTTCAATGTCAATGACATCTCTGACTCCAAGGGCCACTGCAAACTGGTGTTCTGCTGCCAGAGGCGTGTTTCCTGAGGGTCACACACTTTTCGTGTGTCGGTTCCTTCGTGTAACTTGAGTCATTCAACTAGGAACTCACACAGGCAGAAGTCTCTCAGGTCTGCATCAAGTGATGTCAGTGTGGCTGTTTACATTAAAATCCTATTTTTACAGCTGCCATATTTTTCTTACTTATTTTTTCTGGAATCAGGGGGAAAAAAAGAGCCAGACCAGAAATACTTAGATATGTTTTCAATCTAAAAATCTTCTAATCTCTAAACATAGATTATACATAAAAGTTTTTGTTTAATCACATGACTTAAAAGTATATTTTAATAACAAGTGTAGTTTGTAAAATGCACAAACTCATTTTACCTGACCAGACATTTAATTGCCTTAGAAAAAATGACTAACATGTAGTGACTGTTGGTGATGACTAACTAAAAAACGGTAATTGTAAATTAGATTAACCCCACAGGTAGACATCCCACAGGTGGGTGTCCTCTAGGTGGGAGTCATACTTTCCATCTGTTTTTTATAAAGTAGTAAAAAGTTTGCTGAGTTCACCAAAGCCTGTGGCTTATCAGTGATAGATGGATGCCCAACTCCAAATCCACCCCACTCTACCTTCAAGAGCTTTCCAGTTCCCAGGAGCGTTTGTAGAGCCCACGGTTAATTCTTTGCCTTTGGAAATTGCTTCCACTTTTAAAGGCTGGCTTAGGTAAGTCAGCACTGGCAGGTGTGCACGGTGCCCCGCCAGTGCCCTCCTGCACTACAAGCCTACTTCCCACTCCTGAGTCAGTCGCCTCACGCACACGGTCCCGCACACGGGCTAAAACTGGGCTGTAACTCTGTGCTCCCTCTTTTTCTTTTAGAACAAGACCAAAAGTCCAATTCAACGGCTATGCTGGACACGAAAACAGCAACGGGCAAGCCTCATTTGAGAACCCCATGTACGACACAAACTTAAAGCCCACAGAAGCCAAGGCTGTGAGATTTGACACGACTCTGAACACAGTGTGTACAGTGGTATAGCCCTCGGCACCCTGCAGGACCGACCCATAGCCATACCTCTGACGGACAAGCAGTAATTCCTTTGGTGCCATATTCCACTCCCGCTTCTAGTTTGCTTTGCTGCCGCGACCGACCTCCACCACCGTCTCCTGGCAAAACCGCAGCGGGAATTTCCACTCAAACGCATCTCCCTTCTGAACGCGGGTTCGGAACCCCTGGCTGCGTCCTCGGACACAAGGCACAGTGCAGGAGGACTGGCGGGCCGGCGGGCATGGGGTACTCAGTGCCTCAGGCTCTCGGGGCTCTGTGCGGCTGGCATGTCTCCAGTGTAGCCTTCTGGACACGGGACATATCCTTTGGTTGCAGTGACAAAATGCTAGCAACTCAATATGTGGTTTTTGTTTCCTTTTTAACCCCCATGGACGTGAATCCTCTAAAAGGAAAAGCATTCCCGATGAAGACACCTTTCTGACAGACGCACACACTTACAGATGCTTCACTCTGTCCTCCCTGAGACCTGACAAGCTTTGTGGACCTCTTGGCTCCCGTGAGAGTCCACCTCTAGGGACATTTGCAAATCTCCCAGTCAGCTGTTCTATTGCAGAATTTTTGATGCACAATTTTTTGCACTAGTGTGTTAGGAACGACTGAGTAAGATTCCGATAACAAATAAACTATTTACACAGGGTTTATACACACTACCCATTGTACATAGCATCCTTTTGTATGGCCAAGCTAAGCATCCCACCGTCAGTCGAGTTGAAGTGGAAGGAAAAGAATCCCCAGACACTGCACAGATTTTCAAAGGAGATTTCTTTTATCATCACTTCTATCACCTTGGTTTCTGTGTTGACTTCCTTGATGATGTCCGATGATAACAAAGAGGCCTTTTATTTCCCATGTCTTCTTCCCAGCACTGCCCCTCATGTACCACAACACAGCAGGGCGTTTGCAGCGCCCCCATTTGCCTGTACAGATGTGAATAGTAATTTATTTTAGCTAGCTCGAGAGCTCGTGGGTGTCAGCTCACAAGGCAGTCTTCCCTTCTGCATTGTCATTTCCTTCCTTTCTCTGTGACATCACTCTGACACTGCGTTGAAAGACAGTACGCCACAGTCGCACCTCGAACTCAGTGGAAATCGTTCAGGATCAAACTCCGAAGTGTTCCTTGGAGGTAAGGAAAGGTTCTGCACGCCGTCCCCTCATGACGACCTCGTTCACGTGTTAGCTTGCCTCTTGTTTCACGCTTTAGAATTCCAGCCAGAAAAAGTCATTTCGGTGATGTCCAAGCTTAAAGTTCCTCCTAGGCGTGAATTGCGGTATGAATAAAGAGAGGCCGTGTTTCCCCACATGGTGGAAGTCAAAGCATGGATAAGAGACGGGACCACGAGAATGTTCTGCAACAAATTCAAAGTGGAGACCATGTTTATTTTTATTTATACTTGTTTGATAAAAGTATTTTTGGAAAGATAATGCTTATTTTATTATTTGATGTTTGACTACGTATCCCACATGTTAGAATTGTCCCTTTGCACATTTTAGAAGATTCTATGGCTAGAAATGCCAGGATCCCCCAGCTGGCCTCCGGTTTGCTGTGGCGAATACGCTCGCCCTAGCTCTAAGATTGACATAGGCGTCTATCTACTGAGTGATTAGATGCACGTCCTCCCCAGGAGGAATGGGGCGCGGAGTCCATCAGGCTGAGAGCCTGTCCCTCTGGCAGGCGCACGTTAGGTCTGTCACTCGGTAGGGTCTCTTGCCCACCCTCTACCCCATTCTCGTGGGAAGGGGCAGTGCTGTGGGGAAGCTGCCTGGCCTCTTCTGGGGGCAGCTTTTTCTCTGGGCTCCCCATTGCTGGATTCTCCATGGTTATGCTGGCTCTCGGCACGTGGTGCTCTGGCCTTCCTGCCAGCATCTCTGCAGAATGGCTGTGACCGCAGGGACCCTGCCTGGCTGCTCTGGGCAGCTTAGCTGGGGTCGGCAGGAGCCGTGTGCCTCCCCAGGCACTGAGCTGAAACGACCTGCAAATGTCAGAAGGCTTGAGGCTGGGTGTGTGCGAGGGAGAACAGGGTCATATACATATTCGGTGTATATATATACATAGATAGATATTGTACATATCTGAGTTTGAGTCATTCAAACTAGGTGCAAAATGCTGACTTCAGAGTCTGAATTAATGTCTCTCCTACATCCCTGACCTGCTTGCCGGTCAATGACGTTAAAAGGCAGGACACATCCACACAGAAACCACATATCAGAGTAGTAGTATTTCCTTTGTGTGCAAACTGTCCCACGGTTGCCAGTTGGGAGCATGGAATTTTCAATCAACACACAGAGCTTGAGTGGGATTCTCCGTGAGGATCCGCTAGCTTCTCCCTGGGGTGGGAGTGGAGTTTCACCACCTCGTCCCTGTCCCCGAGGTGCTGAGGACCAGGTAGGGCAGGCAGTCAGGCACGGGCTGGCTCCTCGAGGTCTACCAGACTCTTCCCCCGCGGGCAGAGCACAGAAGGGGAAGTGACTGCGGTCACATGCGCCGAAGCTGTCCATGCTGCTGCTTGTCTCACCCATCTTGCCTTCCTTCAGGCTAGCTGCAATAATTTTTTTCTTCTGTAAAATATTTTGTAAACAACGACAACAAAAAGCTATTATAAAAAAGGGGAAAAAGAAAGTTGGTATTATGATCAGGAAAAAAACCCATTGTCACCGCCACACCCGCCTTCCTGTGTCTCCACATGCTGCTGTTGCCAAGTAGGTGCAAAAGACCTTTTTGTACAGAGATATATTTTTTATGAAGAATTTGTAAAATTATTAAATATGCTGTAATTTTTTGATTAATGTAGGTAAATTGTTAAAAAAAAATAAATGTTTTTACAATACGAAACTGTAATTTTCCCAATAATGTAAAATGTATCTTCTCTAGCTGATTTTCAGTTCCAATCCTATGACAACGTTATTCATATTAAAGTGGCCTGTCAAAATGAACAGGATCATTTTTGTCAAAAAAAAGTTATAAAGAGAGTGTAATATAGCCTGTGCAACGCCACCTATCTTTAAAGCAAATCAGAGTTCTAATTAAATATTTAATTTTAGATTTCTACCTTGTGTCTGAATTTATTTTAGCTTAATACATAGGTGTTAAGTAGCCTGGGGGGAACATCGGTGTTCATAGCCAATCCACACCATCGTCACGGCCACTGACCACGCTGACGAGGACCCATGACCCACGGAGCAGTGACAGCCAAGCTGGCTGCTTTGTTGCGTGTTTCCAGTAAAAAGCAAAATCAAGACTGTGGTTCTAGGGTTTCTTTCCCATTTGGGAAGTCTTTTCGTGAACTTTCACAACACTGAAAAATGACATTAAGAAGATCATAGACATTGGTGACAGAACTTGTGCAAGGCACAAGAAAAGCACCCACCCCCTCCCCCCGCCCAGCATGCAAAGGTCCCGCTGCTGGACGGAGACGGAACGGTGGCTGTGTGTCCTCCGTGGCCTGTCCAACCCAACATGCTGTGTGTGACGTTCCGACTTTCCTGAGAGTCAGGTTATTAACACAGTCAGTAAGTTATTAACACGGCTTGGGCTTCCACCTTCCGCTCTGGGGCCAAGGGGGTCCCCGGACCCTGGAGCTGTGACTTGTGAGTGTTGTCCCCACACTCACAACCCAGCAAAGCAGGTCCTGCCAGTTTCATGTCAGTGAGGAAGTAGAAACTCAGAGACCCAGCTCACTTACCCTAAGACACACGTGCAGAACTGAGGTTGGAGGTCAGTGTTCTGTCATCATGACATGCTTCTTTTTCACTGAAAATCTCACATTACTCAATTCATCAGTGTTACTTTTTTGTCGTTGTTGTTGCAATCACAAGTGTTCTGAATATTTCTGTCATTCTAACCACCAAGCATCGCCCCTCTTCATTTGGTAAATAATATAATTACCTCAGGCTAAGAACCCATCTACTCAGGAGGAGCTCGGTTCAAGGCCAGTTCAGGGAAAAAGGTAGTGAGACCCCCATCTCCACTAACAAGCAGGGCATGGCAGTATGTGCCTTTAACCTCAGCTACATGGTAGTCATAGGTAGGAGATTCGAGGTCTGAGGCTAGCTCTGGACAAAAGGACAGGACCCTATCTGAAAGAAACTAAAACATAAAAGGGCTGCGGGGTGCATCTCAAGTGGTAGAACATTTGCCAAGCAAGCATGAGGCCCTGAGTTCAAACCCCAGTACCACCACCAAAAATATCTGTATACATATATCTTTGGCTGAAAGGCTAGCAAGAGTTAGCTATCCTCAGAAGGGAGTTTGTCCATCTGTCTTATGTTATTTTTCTTCCAAGTCTTTTACAGCATTGTTTTCTTTATCATGACACTTATTTTAGGGAATGATGTCCTGTTTTTCAGTCTGTGAGGTCTACTTAGTCTGTGGACTCTGTAACTAAACTAAGTTCTTAACTTGGGGAAGACCCAGCAAGGGATTGAAGACAGCGTTCGTGTCACCATCTCAGGGCACTGAGAGGACCCCGCCTGAGCTCCGGCAGCCCTGACACTTCCACTGTTAGGTCCGCCTGGGGTTGGTCGCTGAGGCGCTGGAAGCCCGGGGGTCTTCACTTTGGCCTGTGTCTTAACAGACTCTGGAGTTTGGATCCAGTGGAGCTTCCTGCCCAGACACACCGAGGCTAACGAGCGTCTTGCCGGTACAGCACAGAAGCTGGAGCCTCCCGCAGAGAAGTGTGGACAATGTTCAAGTCAGAGCTACATGGGTCAGCGTGGATGGACCCCAACACGCCAAAAGAGCCAAAGTTGCTGAAGAAATCAGACCATATGATTTCTTGTAGGAAAATGGCTAAAAACCATGCAGGTTAATTTCACTTATGGTAAAGTTATCATAACGCCTGGAATGGCTGGATGTCACAGACAGGTTGGTCATTATTCCTGAAGAGGGTGTGAGAGGAATGGGAGGAAGGATGGACGATGGGGCTCAGCCAGGTACCGATCAGTGTCATTTAATGACAGATTGAGAATATCAT